TTTATCCGTTGTACATTTCGTGCTTGCATGCATCTCTTCACAATTCCCACGATTCCAACCTAATTGTGGAATGTAATAACGATCAGTGTTTATTTTTTTAATTTAGTCCAATATTCGTTTTTATATACTACAGTTGAAGCCCTTACTTAAATTTCTTGTTTATTTTTTTTCTTATTATTAAAAGAATCCAATTACCTTTTTTATAGCTCAAAAATATGTGTACAGGTTAAGTAGTTGGCGTGAAAGCTTAACAAACAAACTTACATGCACATTTATAATGTTATATATTATAAGTAGGGATATATCAGAAATTGCTATAGTAATGGTGCCTTACGAACCTATATATATTTTTTATGTAAAATTTGACGATTCATAAAAACGCCGAAGCGTCTATTTGAATAATATAGATAGATTACATTTATTAATTTTGATTTGATTTGAATACTTATTATTTGATTCAGTTTTTATGCTAAGTCCAATGCTCACTAAGTTAATAATGAATTACCTAGCTTAACGCTTTAGCTCTTAGATTTATGCGTTTAATAATTACTTTCGCCGATTATATATATCGATATTGTAAAAAAAAAACACTCGATGGCTTTGATTTCGAAACTTTTAATTCTTAAAAAATAACAGGATGGAATAGGTAGTTTTATAAAATAATACAGTCAATGACGGGGACCATCCCAAAGTACATTTAGTTTCGAACGGAACCTAATGATGAAGCATGTATTAACGAAATGGCGAAAGAATAAATCTGCGTTCCTTCATGCAAGATCATTCTTAATTTTAAGTTTTACCACCTAAGGAATACATATTGTGGGAAAAAATAATAAAAACAAGAAAACAAAGATATGTTACTCCTATATACAAATGTACTAAACGTAAATGTAATTGATATTAGTTACGATACCATAATTTTCTATATTTCTTCCGGACAAATACTGCGTAACAACCGCCCTCCTCGTATGAAAGAATAACTTAAATATTTGATTTTACTATTTTCCAGGTGCTCCATTTTAATGCAGCGACCCAATAAACGCATACCGCTTTGAGACAATCTCCTTGCATACGATATATCGCGGACTTAGCGAATTTTTCAAAATATATTAAAAATATCTATCTTTGTTGATTGCCGTTCTATATAAAAATTTGAAATTCGAGTTTAGGATATCTGAGGTTTCTGAACTAATAATTCTATTAATTATATTCATCATTGGTCTTTTTTTTATTTTCATTTTACAAAGTGAATTTAAGTGATAAACGTAGGTATATATATTTTCTTTGACGTTTATCTCTTGACATATAATATACATCTTAAGACTGAGCAAAGTAATGTTTACTTTTGCAAAATTTTTGCTACATAGATAACAGATTCCCATTTTCTATGACCTTTCTCCTTTCGTCTCTGCCATAGTTGTACATAAACGCAAAGGTATATTCCATAGAAGACGTTCTAGCCATTCTGAAACAAGATTATCTATTCCAATTTCTTGTCGAGCCGCAGCTTAAACCAATTTCTAATGGCGCATTTACCTGAGTATTGTTTTTGTGGCAGATTTAAAATTCGGTTACAATTCGGTGCATATAGTTTAACGGACAGGTTACATGTCGCAAGTTGTTATTCGAAATTCTTTTGAACTTCACAGGGTAATATAAATGGACATATTGTAGCAGTAGACACCATGTCATGTAAATGGAATAGAATAACTTTTAGGAACTGCATATTGATACAGACGTTTGTATAATCTACATCTGTATCTAAATATACACAAACTGTAAATTCCGTATACACAAAATGAAAGCTTTAAAAACGCATTCATAAATGTCCTAAGGATACTTGGGAGAGCGATCTCTTTCACACGAAAGTTAAAAATAATATTAAGCTTTGAGTCAATATTAATTATAGCATCATCCTCAGCTGGCAATATGTTCGAACACTAAATACCACTCTCTGTGTTCGAACCAAGTGCCATGAGTACCGCACAACCCTTGTTTACTTTTTTGTGTCACATTAACTTTTTTGTTGTAACTTTAAATGCTGATTGTGTTTTTACCGCTTACTCGTTTGGAAATCATCAGAAGTAAATCGGATACAAACCGTATCAGGACTGCGTGACGGGCTGTGGCTTAACTCTCTCTATACAGTGAAGGCATTCGTACAACAAAAAAGTATGCTATAATTAACAGTTTAAGCACAATGTAGTATTAGTTTAAATAATTTGATTAATTCTCCATTTATCATCATTGATGCATCTTTTTTCAGCATTTATTCTAATTTTAAATTGATATGGATTAGCGAAGCGATAATTCACTTCCGGTTGCGACCAATTCGGTCACAATTTATTCCGAGCCGTAAATCTAAATCAATAATACGAGCTTCAGATATTGTTGTCTGGTCAAAGGGACGAGTTATATTAAGAAGGAATAACCTACTAAGGATATATAAATTTTATATATCCTTAGTAGGTTATTCCTTCTTACACGATTCAAGTCATTTAACACGTTGCCCAGTGAATACGAAATCTCACTGCTATGTAAAAACGATAATAATAATCACACCACTTGAAAGATTACAAAATGTTAGATTGTTCGCCTTGGTGCTAATGGTCCTTAAACTTGTAAAAATTGAGAAAATTTATTTTTATTGTTTATGATTATTTTTTTATTTTTTTAAAGTCATGGCGCCAGGATTGAAATCTGCATCTTTTGGGTAACACATCCTTGCGCGTAGCTCGTAGCGTGGCTTTAGACAAGTAAACATATGTTCGAATATAGGCCACGCTGAACAAAAATTCGAAAATTTTTGTATTAAGCTGGCATTCATTTTTATAAGATTATATTGCGACACTGAACGCCAGCCGGAAAAGATTTTATCATTTCAGCTGGTGCGGATTTATTGAAAAGATCATGGGGTTCATGACCTCCTCCTAACCTGAATATATTTCTTTTAAAAAGTTATAACTTGTTTCTTTACTTAAATATTATACAATGTTGTTAGTTTACTCAAATGTGTTCTGTCACAAACCAACCATAATAAGGTAAAAGAATAAAGTCTTCAATATTTTTTCTTTTGCTTTCGAATCTTTCAATTTCCACTACACGTGGATCTACATTTGAAAAGTTGTTATGGTTTCTCTTTTTCAAAGTTCTGTTTTTTGTATTTTTGCTAAGCCCATTTTTCAAACCTTAACTTCACTTGGCCGTCCAGAACTTTTTTAGAAAGTTTATTTTCATTGTAAATTCATTTCAGTTATAAATCAATTTCCGTATCTACGTAAGCGCCGGTGACCTTATATTTAGATAAAAAGTCGTTAGCGCCTCTGTTAGTGATTGTGCTACTTCGGAGAGACTTGAAGAATTGGGACATCCGTTTTGTCTAGCTCTAGACAATTGTTTTGTAACTTTAACTATTACTGCGCCTTAATAATTAGCAGAACAAGAAGTATCTAGAAATGTAAGGAAATGAAAGAAGCGCCTACGCGAAAAAGATAAAACTCTTAAATTTAAACTTTTTCAAGTTATGTCCTACGTTTACATCTAAGTGAAACCTTTATTTAAATTAAATTATCGATATTTTTGTTGTAGTGAGTGAATCTAATTAATTTAGTCGCAATGTTCATATTATGTTAATGTATTATTGAATTATCGACTCGATGGACAAAATAAAACGACGCCTTACAACGGATACCGATAATATCCGTTTATTACGAAGAAACAGTGCGGATAGATCCCGGTATTGTAGGTACTAGTGATGTATTTAAACTGAACTGTTGACCTAAACTCGTAAACTATTCTTAAACATAGAGAATGGAGGAGTAGGAATTGTAATTTATTTCGAATAAGCTTTCTCTACAAATAGCTCCTACCTGAAGTGACAAATATAGCGTTAGTTTTATAACTAAATATAAATTCAGATTTATGACTATGCACTTTGAAAGTTTGTGATATTTCAGCTATATGAAATTTCGTTTTATTTCTATATTACTATAATTTTGCGAGAAACCGACATAAATTTTTTTCTTAGACGTGTATATAATAAAACATTATTTGTTAAAATTAGTTTTTTAACTATCTTTCATTCAATGCGTAGTGTATAAATTTAAGACCGATATATAAAGTTAAGACCGATATTCACGAAATGTGAAGAATTAGGTGAAGCAAATTATTTGCCTCGGTGCGTTTGTAAGGAACAATGCGTTATCTGTGGCAAAAGCTGTTTGCTACAATATGTTATTCCGGCGATATATAGAAAACTATTCCCGATCTTAAAGCATCACTTAGGATTACGAAGAAAGGACTTAGGATTACGAAGGTTTAACACACAATAAATCAAAACTGTTTCTAGTTGCAAGCGTAAATTCGGAAAGCCGAATAACTTTCAAAGATGTAAAACAAAAGTAATTTTCAAATTTTACGCCATGGGCAGTATGGTTGGTAGTCGAAATGAAGTATGACAAATACTTTCGCGTTTCGTCTGGTGAGTGAGGTAGCCGAAGCCCAATTTCCAAAAAGGTTGTCAACGCTTCTGCAAACCATCGGGTGTAGCAGATATCCATGGGCGGCGGTATTCACTTAACATCAGGTGAACCGTCTGCTCGTTTGGCAATTTTTCGCAAAAAAAAAAAGGTATAATTTAAAATCGTTTGAACCACCAGCTCGCTTGCCACTTTCTGACATAAAAAAAGTGCTTGAGTCCCTCCGCGCGGAAGAAGTGAATCTTCGAGCGCCACGCATTCACTCTCGCTCTGTCTCTTTCTATTCCCCCGCCCCAGGAGCGTTGAACGTTTAACGCAACAGTTCTTTCGTACAGGGGTTATGATAGCGTTAAACGTTTAACGCAACCTTGTTGGAAGGCGCGTTGGAAGTTTCACATAAAAAAAAAAACACGTCGGTTATTGTTGGACCGGTTTTTTTTTTTTACGGAGAAAAGGGGCAAGTTTGGAGTAATAGCGTGCGCGTTGCGTTCGCACAGGAGGGCGGCCCGCGGTGTTGTTAAGATGAAGTGGTGCGGCGACGTGGTGGGGCGCGGCTCGGCGGCGTACTTCGCGCGGGTGGCGCGTCTGCGGCGCGCGCTCGTGCTGCTCGCGGCCGCCGCGTGCACCGCCGCCGCGCTGCTCTACTGGCGGCAGCAGAGCGACGAGCGGACCACCAGGCCGCTGCACAGCGTGTACAGGTGGGTGGGCCGCTGAACGGGCGACGAGCGACGACGAAGTCAAAGTCAAAGTCGAATAATCTTTATTCAATATAGGCTTAACTTAAGCTCTTATTGAACCTGCTAGACCTGAACAGAAGAGAACCGGCAAGAAACTCTGCGGTCTTGTTCATTTTGTTTTTTTTTTTGTGAAGCAATTATACAAACTTATTTAGGTATAAAATCAGCAGCAGCCAGGTGTATTGCAAGCGCAGAGCAAGAGTCAATGTATTATTGGACATTATAGTAGGCCCTTGCCTTTAATTTAGCTTTTACTGTAGTGACTTGACTATGTACTTGGGAAATACAAGGAAACACACGCGCACTTCCGTCGGAATCGGAGTATAATGAAACTTCAAGTGACAGCATTTTATTGCCATAGCTTTTACCTTACTATTTTATATTTACACTAATACACAAACAACTTTGGCGTTCAAGAATGCTTAAATTTAAAATATTTAACTTATTGATGACGCTTTTGATCATCATTCTACATTATACATCGACAATCTGGTCAGTCCACTTTAATCCTGTACGCTGCCTTCACTTGAGACAACGGATCAATTGATTTACTTTTTCGCCGCATCTCCCCGCAGCGGCGTCGAGCCCGAGTGGACGTGGGAATGTCGGAAGGAGCGCTGCGAACGGCTGCCGGCGGCCGAGGCGCCCACGCTGCAATCGCTGCCCACTTGCAACATGCTGTGCGCCTCCACCCAGCTGTGGCCGCAGCCCACCGGCCCAGTGAGCCTCGCCACCGCCGCGGTGCCGGTGCGCGCCTCCGCGTTCACCCTCCACATCGTGACGTCACCGTCCCGCGAGGTCTCCGAACACCTCGAGGACGCCTTCGGCCTGTTCAGAGAGGACCTTCGCGCTCTAGAGAAGACTACGGTCAGCGATAGCAAGCGCAGCGACATCGGCCCCGCGCACGAGGTGCTGGTCCGCGTGTCGGTCAACGGCAGCACCGACGTGCGAATGCGCATCGACACCGACGAAAGCTATAAACTAGCTCTGGCACCGGACAGGGGCGCTCTGGTCGCGCACATCTCGGCCCGCTCGTTCTGCGGCGCTCGCCACGGCCTGGAGACACTGTCGCAGCTGGTCTGGCTGGACCCGTACGCGGGCTCGCTGCTCGCCCTCGAGGCGGCCACCGTGGACGACGCGCCGCGCTTCCGCTACCGGGGCCTGTTGCTCGACACCGCCCGCAACTACTTCCCCGTGGGCGAGATCGTGCGCACCATCGACGCCATGGCCGCGTGCAAGCTGAACACGTTCCACTGGCACGTCAGCGACTCGCAGTCGTTCCCGCTGAGATTGAACAGCGCCCCGCAGCTGGCGCAGCACGGCGCCTACGGGCCGGCCGCCGTGTACACCACCGAGGAGGTGCGCGCGATAGTGCGGCGCGCCAGGCTGCGCGGGATCCGGGTGCTGATCGAGGTGGACGTTCCGGCCCACGTGGGCCGCGCCTGGTCGTGGGGGCCCCAAGCCGGCATGGGCCACCTCGCGTACTGCGTCGAAGTGGAGCCCTGGAGCGCCTATTGTGGCGAACCGCCGTGCGGACAGCTGAACCCGCGCAACCCGCACGTGTACGACCTGCTCGAGGGGATCTACGCGGAAATCCTCCAGCTGACCGGGGTCGACGACATTTTCCACCTCGGCGGCGACGAGGTCTCCGAGCGCTGTTGGTCGCAGTACTTCAACGACACGGACCCGATGGACCTCTGGTTGGAGTTCACGCGGCGCGCGATGGAGGCGCTGGAGCGCGCCAACGGCGGCAAGGCGCCCGAGATGACGCTTCTGTGGTCCTCGCGGTTGACCCGCTCCCCGTATCTCGAGCGTTTGGACACGAAGAAGTTCGGCATCCAGGTGTGGGGCGCGTCCCGGTGGCCCGAGTCGCGGGCGGTGCTCGACGCCGGCTTCAAGTCGGTGATATCGCACGTGGACGCGTGGTACCTGGACTGCGGCTTCGGCTCGTGGCGGGACAGCTCGGACGGGCACTGCGGGCCGTACCGCTCGTGGCAGCAGATCTACGAGCACCGGCCGTGGGTCGACGAGTCGAGCGGGATGGCGGGCGCGGGGCCGACGGGGGAGGGGTGGCGGGTGGAGGGCGGCGAGGCGTGCCAGTGGAGCGAGCAGCTGGCGGCGGGCGGGCTGGACGCGCGCGTGTGGCCCCGCGCCGCGGCGCTGGCCGAGCGGCTGTGGTCGGACCGCGCCGAGGGGGCGGTGGGCGACGTGTACCTCCGCCTCGACACGCAGCGCACTCGGCTGCGGGCGCGCGGCGTCCGCCCGGCCCCGCTCTGGCCGCGCTGGTGCACCCACAACCCGCACGCCTGCCTCTAGCGGTGCACACACGCGTACACTCGCGCGCAAACACTTGTTCGCAACGCCCTTGTGTATATCAGGTACATCCGTGCCCGACTGATGAAATTTCACCATCGCGTACACTCGGAATTCCTCGCTCTCGTGTACTTGATACTTTTGTTCATCGATTCTCCGGTACGATTGTGACCGAAAACATCATAGTGTTACTTGCCGCGCCGATGCACTCGCATCCACACACTTGTTCGCTTCACCGTTGTGTACACCAGGTACATCCGTGGCCGACTGACGAAATTTCACCATCGCGTACACTCTGATTTCCTCCCTCTCGTATACTTGTTACTTGCCGCGCCGGTGCAGCCACAACCCGCACGCCTGCCTCTAGCCACGCACACACGCGTACACTCGCTCGTAAAAACTTGTTCGCAACACCGTTGTGTGTATCAGGTACATTGGTGGCCGACTGATGAAATTTCACCATCGCGTACCCACGGAATTCCTCGCTCGTGTACTTGTTACTTGGACTCATCGATTCTCCGGTACAATCGTGACCGAAAACATTATAGCGGCTCGCTAGCGTGCATTAGGCCACACTCGAAAAATGGTAGGTTTAAAGTGTCGACGTCTTAAGTTCTCGTATGTAAGTAATGTTTTCCTTGTCTAGCGAAGTGTTTTGTCTCTCGTTTCAAATGTTCTTAATTTAAAATTTATTGACTGCTTTGTTTCATTTGTTTTCTATGCTTGTATACCATGACGTCAGTAGTTTCATTCTACTTGAGACAACGATGAGTCGATGATGTTAATGTTTCTGATTACGCTTTATTAGATGAATTCTTATAAACTTTCTATTCATATATCCTACTACACTACTTTATTATAAGTGATAATAGCACGTAGACGTGTCTGGGAAGTCATAAAGACGGTTAAAATAAGATTTGTTTCGATAATGTCTCATAAGTGCAGCGATACTATTTATCTCCAGCATCCGTACCAAATTTTCTCAATGATTGATTACCGACAATGCTCGACTGAATGTCTTTAAAATTTACATAACCGATACATATTACCGTACTGCCATACCCAGTCAATAGCGAAAGAGGCAAGATATACTCAACCTGTACATAATATGAGCATAACCATCGTGTTAGTTAAATCCGTGTACAGCGCTTAATCGTAAAACTTAGCTAAAGCTTTTAATAAGAATGATACATTTAATATCACACGTATCGCTAGAAATATAGGAATCGTGTATACAACGTCGTATATTTATATAAATAGTATAAGATTTACTAACAATCAACCCTCATCATTTTAACACCTTTCATATTACTAAGCTTTGATCAGCTTCAAAATGATAAATTATGAACAATTTTCGCATAGGTTTAAGCGTTTTCTCACTTCGCGACATCGTCCTAAGTGAAACTCTTATAATTGTCCGGTTTCAAATGAATTCAAATGTAACATGTAGATGGAAAATTTCAAATAAATTTTATTATTATACAAACTCACAGAAGTACTGAAGATTCTTAAAAATAATAAATAAACATTGCATCAGATTTCCTCCAACCAAACGAAACGTATTTTCTTACAAGCAGCGGATATTATTTGATATGCTTTTTTAAATACATTAATCATTATTTATTGCATACATCACACGTTTTATATACTTTAAATATTATTTTAAAAACGATTGATTTACACAATTTAAATAATAAGATTGAGGGACTGACTATCCCATCCGGATACTTTAACAATTATTTTTAAACAAGGTTGAATACCGTAACGATTTTTTTTTATTTCATTAATTTTCATCACATCATTGCGTATCGACCTGCTTCGAGTTGTATAGATTCCCAACTTTAAGAAACTGTGCACTGCATTCATTTAAAAATTTAAACAGACAAAACTTTTGAAATAGGCATTGAAGTAAATACAACTTAATTTATTTCTAAATTAATACATAAATACCGTACAATAAAATGATGTCCCAAGTTAATTGCCTGCTACAATATTAAATCTTCTTTATTTTATATCATAATAAAGAATTTAATCGTTTGATATAAGCTATTCACGCACTCTGTTAAGTACTCACTATGAAATTTAAAAAATTACTTAATGATAATTGAATAATAATAAGTTATTTATGAATAAATATAAATAGTACGTAAGTTAGAACTGTTTTATCAACTTTAAATTTGTGAGATTTTTTCTATATTTATTATTATGATAGTATATTATCACAATTAATTTACTTAGCCTATCAAATTTAGACGTTTCGATAGAAACATTTTGTTTTTGTAAATATAATAAAAGCTTCATTGAAAGCTAAAAATTATGAATTTATTTATTCATTTATTCCATATTTACGAATATCCACTGTACAATTATTGTAAACCGTAAAAATCCTAATAGGAATTTACCTTAGATAAAGTACAGATGTCAAATGTTGCTATATTTAATGAATTCGTTTGCGATGTTGTCTGCGTAGTAACATGACATCAAAAGACTTGTTGCCTGTCAAAGGGATGTTTCTAACCGGGAATCTCAATGACACTACATTCTTAAATTTACCTTCAATAAATGCTACCTAAAGTCGTATTCCTGAAGGCCTTTTTTTCCTCCTTTTAAGCCAGGTGAACTCGTTTTAGGATGCCTGATATGATGCGATATGTCGGATATTTATTAAGAAATTTAGATCATACGATACTACTATTAATACCGTGTTCATATGAATGTAATGCAAAAACGTATCGTTAATTTTCATTCAGAGAGTTTTAGGTAAAAGACAAAATCGCATGGAATCTAATTGTTTTTTCTCACAGCTTTTGTTGAATAAACTTTGTAATGGAAAATAAAAAAGTACTATAAAAATACCCTTAGTCGATGCGATATAATGAGTGATTGTAATATCGCGTAAGTCATTCGTTACGGTTACTTTACGATGTATAGACTAGGGACTTTTTGGACAGCCCTGCATCGTTTGCAATCTTAGCCCGAAAAACTATTAAAAAAAATTGTAGGGATTTCCTTCGGCGGCCAATTATTTTACATCAATCTTTCATCATAATTATCTTATGCAGAACCTATCATCGACAGCAATATTAATGTTACTGAAAATGGCTGTACGTTTTAGAATTTTGAAAGTATAATGAAAACGTTATTATTCGTGTAAAATTAGTCTTAAGTATCTTCACTGTTGAAAGTTAATTTGTCATGTTAAAACGATTATAGAAGTTTGTTCAATTTCTGTTGTTAGTTGGTGTGATCGGTAAAAAGCACAATTTTGTACATTTTGTAAGTAATGTCTGGTGCTAAAGTGATTTTGTGGTGTAATAAAATATAAATAAAAATTTGTTTTTTTTTTATTTATTCTATATCACATTATACAGCGTGTCTTTACCATCGCGACAATAAATGAACACACATATAGAGGATAAATTTTTAAAATTGTATTAAAGATTTACATTCTTTAAACATCAATATTTACCGAGTTATCAAATTTTCCAAAACAAAAAAGAAAGGAAGGAGGTTTGTTTTTTTTTTTTTTTGGCGGCGAAAAATTTAAATTACCGTCATATTCGACGTAATATATTTTTCATTCCCTGAAAAACAGGGAAAAAAGGACATTTTCTAGAAAAAATGAATCGAAAAAAAAAAAGTAAAAAAATAAAGTGTAAATGATGACGCGAACCACGGCCCTCTGTTTTCGCCCGATTACCCGACCTATTATGAATTTTCTCTACGCACCGTCATATTCGAATTATATTTTTCATTTTCTAAAAAATGAATAGATCGATTTTTCGCCCTGGAGCCGTTTCTAAATTTCATGAAAATCGCTGGAGCCGTTTCCGAGATTCCGATATATATATATATATATATATTATAATATATATAGAATTGCTCGTTTAAAGGATAAGATGTAAAGTTCATTTGTAAAGGTCACAAAGCATATGAATGGGTTGAATGAATTTAAATGAGACAAAACATACTGTTAGGAGGCTTGTAATGCGGCGCTGTGGCAACGAATGAAAAAGTCTCTGAATGTATTAATCAGTCAGTTGTAGTTGTATAGGATGTAAAAAAAACTGATTCTTTTTTACTTAATTAGTTTGAAAAATATTTTTTTAATAATGGATATTTTTAACGTCAATATTTTTTTTATGATTATTGGCAAATAGCGTTAGACGTGTGTTCATTTATTGTCGCGGTGGTAAAGACACGCTGTATATTAATAATTTAATATAACAATATATATTGAAGTAAATGTTTGAGTCGATTCCATACAGGAACAATTGATAGTTGATAAGCAATCACAATTATTTCAGACATGTTTTTTCTGTCCATATAGTGGCTTCGATCATCTTTAAGTTTAAGCCGGATTAGATGAGTAAATTCATCCAATGGTCAATTCAGATATAGAAGGATGTCTTATTTCACCTATAATTTGATTTTCGGCACTGTATTAGGTTTTCGTTATCTCCAAATAAAAGCAAAGATACAAAATAAATAAGTAAAATTTAATGACTGAATAATAACTGTAAGGCAAGGCACATGTTGAAGCATATTATTGTCGAGGTCATTTTTTTCTAAAGAAGTTGCTCAATCTTCTACTGCGCGGCGTTCCCTGAAACCAAAACTTATTTGTGAACATATTTTTTTAACAAGAATAAAACTTCTGATTATTTCGATGACTTCAGACTTCGATGCTCAATGTCTATCACTACAAATTACGGAATTCGTTAGGATATCGAACCTCCGGTATACGCGAAAAGAAGATCGCTCATACATATTAACTTTATTGTTAATACATAAATCTCCTAGCCCTTTTGCTTTAGTAATTTAAAAGAATACACAATAAAGAGATTTCTTTATTGTGTATTCTTGTGTAAAGACCGATTCACGAACCTAATCTGTGACCTGGATTTTTGGCACCTGACTCAGTTTAGTAAACACATAATTAAAAGGAAGACTTTTAAACTGACTTTTACTATCGTGTCACTTAAGGGAGATATAAATTTTATTTACTAATCCTTACTAATATTATAAACGCAAAAGTTTGTATGTATGGATGGATGTTTGTTACTCTTTCACGCAAATACTGCTGAATGGATTTTAATGAAACTTTACAATAATATAGCTTATACATCAGAATAAGACATAGGCTATAATTTGTATACATATTTTATGTATTTCTGTCTGAATGTTAGGTACGTCTTCAGCCTACAGACGCAGACGTAGTCGCGAGCAACACCTAGTAACTCCTAAAGTAGAGTAAGATGTAAAATGTTGGATAATCTCACTTCTACTGTATCATTCCTGGCCGAGGTAAATAATAGGCGCAGCCTCGACGGTGTTGCAGTCTTCCGCGGCTGAGGCTCTGCCTCCACGCGTAGAGACTCTCGCAACTCGGAATCCTGGAGAAATGAAAGTGCACTTTTAGTATTGTTGTGTGTTACAAAGGAACTAACGCCATCTAGCGTCAACTATTAAAATCACTAAAGAACAAAGACGACATAAAACCCCCTATTCAATACTAGATGGCGTTAGAGGAACTGCTGTGGAACTATAGTCTCGAAAACCGGGTACATTCGCGAACTTTCCAGAATCACGAACATGTTCGGGCGTGTCGGGTACGTTCCAGGAAGGATCTTTCTGGATTAGTCTGGAACCGGTCTCGGCCCATATAAAAAGCCGCGGGGAGGCGAGCGAAGACAGTTCAGTTTGAGCTACCTTCGAGGCGACTTCGGAGCGAAAACTAGTGATCAAGAGCGATACCAGTGAAACCTACGACTTGGCTACAAAATAGGACATCGTTAGTGCTCAGTGTTTGGACCTAGTGCTTTGAGTTGGACCTAGTGCTATTGAATAAAGTCTTCAAGAGTCAGCAGGTCTTTCTCTCCAAATCCTTCGAACCCCTAACACGTAACAGCTGGTGTCAGAAGTGGGATTTGGAGATGCCATTGACTCCTAGAGAGGACTTCAAGGAGGGTGTCAGGACAAGGGCACGAGCTGCGGAGACCACACCCACTGGGGACCAAGCCCCGTCCACTATGGGTCAAGCCCCGCCCACTGACCCCACCGACCAGGCCACGCCCACCGACCACGCCCCTCAGACTCCGCCCACCCATGCCCAACCCCTAACACGTAACAGTATTATGTATCTAGTTGGCAGGAACAACGTACCTCCGGACCCCAGTACCGCTTGAAAAATATGCATCTTAATAATGGTCTTGTGGTTTTGTGACAATGCATGTACCAATTTAGGGAATGAATGCCTCTCTATATGTATTTAAAGAAAGTAATACATACCGTAGCTGACAGCCTGCCCGCCTGCTTGCTCGGCGTGGGCGGACCGGGCTTCTTGTACGCGGTGATTCCAACCTCCTTCCTCTGTTGGCGTTCACCAACGGAGGCGTCTGTGGGGCCAGCCTACAATTTTTAAGCACATTAATATAATGAATAATAAGTTAATACCAACTTATACAGCGTGTCGTTACCATCGCGACAATAAATGAATATAGATGATAACTTTTTAAAATTGTATTAAACATTTACATTCTTCAAACATCAATATTTACAGAGTTATTAAATTTTCCAAAACACACAATTTTAGAACACCCTTACATATAAAACAGTAACGTCAAGTTCATTTGTAAAGGTGACAAAGCATATGAATGGGTTGAATGAATTTAAAAGAGACAAAACATACTGTTAGAAGGAGAGGCTTGTAATGCGACAATGTGGCGCGAGTTGTATAGGATGTTACAAATTTTGTTTCTCTTTTACGTAATTAGTTTGTTTGAAAAATATTTTTTTTAATTATGGATTTTATTTAACGTTAATATTTTTTTATGATTATTGGCAAGTAGCGTTAGACGTGTGTTCATTTATTGTCGCGATGGTAACGACACGCTGTATACCTATATATAATTATCAAATAAATCTTTATAATACTGTGAAATATTGTCGAAGGAGTTACCTACACCACCTGAGGGCTGGCAGATGCGCTGAAAAAGTGGGCGGCGGTTACCTCACTCGTCAGACGAAATGCGAAAATATAATACTTCCACTACGCCCTTCCACTACTTTCTTTCCGTCGCTACATCTTATCGCACACAATTAATTATTAATAAGAGAATATTTTCTGCAATATTATTTAGAAATTCTTTTATTTTTGTTCTGAGCTTTTCCGCTTCACACGCAACGTGCACAATTCCTGCGTACAGACGCAAGCAATAAATTGCTGCTTAATGTTTGCGTCTGGCAACGGTTAGCAACATTAGAAAAGACTTAGGGTTCCGTTTGGGAGTGAGCTATACTAGGTTAAATCGAGTACCTGTTACGCCTATTCCTGTTACTTAAAATTAACAGTGAGAAGTCTCTATTACATAATAACAGCCTGATATTTCATACTATGTTGTGACAGTTTGTGTAACTGTTAATCTATGGTAACGTCCGTACTTCTCTTTGTAACAAAGCTATATGACCGATGCAAGAAAAAGAAAGAGCTTGTAACAGTAACAGTGTTCAGTAAAAACTGCGACAAGGTGTAACAGATTTTATCTCTTTCTAACTAAGGTAACGGTCGTAAGCGTGAATGAAGAAAAGCTTGTGACAACGTGTTTAGGAGCAATCTGTGTGGAACAGGAACTGTTATTTAAGTTTGTTCATAACAAGTATAGTCTGTCTCGAGATAGCTGTTATATTTACCTGTTACGATAAACGCGCCTCAGTCCTAGTTCCGTTTACCTTAATGTCCTCCTCGCGCAGGGCGGGCGCGAACTGCGTCTCGGCGGGGTAGGAGCTCTTGAGGTGGGGGGGGCAGAGCGAGTTCCGCCAGCGCAGCTCCGAGAGGCGGGGCGCGCGCGGCGTGTTCAGCTCGCGCAGGCACCGGTTGTCGAACACCTCGCCCTCCTCGTCCGACATGTGCAAACCGCGACCCTCTGCCCAAGGAGCAAGGTCGAGTTTAGCTCGCCGTCCGTTGTAATGAAATATGAAGGCGTCTGACTCGACGTCTGTATGTGAGCTCGACGGCTACGAAGGCTAAAGTGCCATGTACCACGAAGTGGGATAGTTAAGTCCGATTTAATTGATATTCGTATTTGTTGCATGGTCGTTATTCGTATAGCGAAATCTTGTATCTTGTATTAACTGATGTTTTTGCTTTCAGTCCCGAGACTATTAAAGCTTCATCGGACGCAGAACCGGTGGGCTAGCCAGAACCCACGGGTTTGGACCCTCCGCTATGGGTAGGGTCGCGCATGTGCTCATGCGTGCGTTTAATTATGGTGTGTCATCTAAGGGCCGTCGAGGTCGCGGTTCGGACCGAGACCCCGACGGCCGTCGACTGTGCATTTAGCTAATCGGTGGCTGGGAGCGGTGAGAACCGCCCCGGAACGCGGGTGTACCTTGTGTACGCGTTGTGTGGGTCTCGCCGTGCTCGGAGGCGAGGGCGAACTGGTGTGATTATTGTTACACTAACTGTGGGTGTAGTGTTATCCGGCGGGACCCCCGGCGGTGGGTCCATCGTATCTAAGTCCTCTTCGTCGACCGGGTCGATGAGAACGTTTCGCGGGCGACGCTTGTTTACGTTCGGGTTAGTGTCCGGTTGGTAGTTTGCAGCGCTTACCACCAGAGGGTTGGGATGATGCTGGGCTCTATCGAAGAACCGTTTTGTCAAATCTTTAAAATGTGCGCGAATCGTCGGGAGTCTGCAATCGCTGTGCAGGTCGACGTTGCTATAGCGAAATAATGCAATGATCTTGTATTAACTGATGTTTTTGCTTTCAGTCCCGAGACTATTAAAGCTTCATCGGACGCATAATGCATTGATACGCCGGCGTCTGAATTAACCTCCGTACACTTCCTAACGACCCGTAAGTTATAGGAACGGTAGTAACTAACTATCCGTATTTGATGTTTATCATTTTACGAATACAGAAACCGGGCGTTAACGTCTGAATGTGAGCTCGGCGTATAGTGCTATGTACCACGAAGTGGGACAGTTGAGTCCAATTTAATAGATATGAACATTAATTAGCTCGAATGCTTTAGATTTAATATATTTTTTGATCGTCTATGGCTGCATGGCATATGGCAAGGTCGATTTCTTGCGCTGCTAGTGATCTAGTCGTTGATTCACATCCCACTGGAGACCAAGTAATTTTTGGCTTACACAAATCATTCTGAGATCGTCAATAATTTTTAACTAGTGTAACTTACCTCTTTTTTTATTCATATTTACGGGTAGAGACCGAAGGGAATGACTGTCTGTTCCCTTACAAGGCTCTTCGGTTTGAGTAGCAAATGCAGCCTGCGAAACATAGACAGAACATTTTTAAGAAGTTTCTAGATAATTTCTAGTATTTAATATAATTAATAATTTCTAAAATTGACAGATGGCCAAATGATAATTTTTAATTTTTTAAAGGACTACAGGCTTTATCACGTAAAATTGTTTAATTATCTCTTAAAATTTGGATGATTTGCAGTTTAAATAGATTCCGGTAATGGGTAGCACTTTAGACAATTATCAAAGATTGCATCGTCAAAGCATTAATCAAAGATTATTTGATTTATTTAATAGGTATGACATGGAAATTTTATCAGTTAATAGAAAAAAATACACACCGTAGGAACATGTTGCAATGACATAAGGGATTCGGAGCGTTGCTTCCGTCTCAGCCATTCCGCTTCGTCGTTCTTGCCCAGGAATTTCTCACCCAACGTCCACAGTTCGAGGTTCAAGGACCGTATTTCGTCCTCGTAGTATTTACGTGCCTGTTTTAACGTCTCCTTGGTCGACTGCAACTCCTGGTGGAGTACTTTAATCTCATCTCTCTGTGCCTCTTTGAAACTCTGCACCTCTTTTTGGTACAGCTCTTTCTGTAAATTAAACGAAGTCTTTTGTAATTATATGGACAGAAACACATTAAACAACAATTTCAAACATGCTCTCGTAAACCATGCGGCATGCATTATTCAAATTTGCTCATTACCTTATTGTGCTAAGAACGGACGTCTTAAGACATTCGTAAAAATATAAATTACACAATTCGCAACTACACTACTGCTATGTTTTAATGAACACTCCAAAAAGCTCAGACTGAAAAATATAAATAAATAAAGAATACAGTGAAAGAGTAAATAAATAAAACAAAAAAGTATCCATCAAAACGTAACTTTATTAAATAAATAAACAAATGGACTTCACAAATCGTAACCGTCAATAGATAAGCCACACCGATCAGTGATCCATTTGCAGATAGAACCACCACACAACCTGATAGGCGCATACCAAGAACAGTACGGGTAGGATACTGACCATTTTAGTCTTCATCCGGGCGAGTTTCTCCTCGTACTCGGCGCGCACCTCGCGCACGGTCATTGCGAGCGCGTCCCTGGCGCCGTTGCCGCTCCGCGCGCGCGCCGCCTCCTCCAGCAGCTTCTGGAAGGAGCCGGCCAGCTGCTCCATCTGCGCCTCCAGGCCGGCGTTCTGGAAGGATGCGGCGGCGAGCGAGCCGCGCTCGAGCTCCTGCCCGCCGCTGAACGCCTGCTTGATCCTCTCCGCCGAGAGGGCGCGGCCGTGGCACCTGTCCGCCCAGCGCTGCAGGTTCATCGCGCACTCGGCCAGGTCCTGCATGGCGGCCGCGTACCCCCTCTCCAGGCCGCAGGCCGCCGCCTCCGTCAAACGCTCCTCCGCCTCGAGGATCTCCCGCCTCACCGTCCGCTGCAGCGACACGACCCTGCTCAGCTGCTGGGCGTACACCTCCTTCACCGAGCTGAACGTCCTCACGCTCACCGATAGCTCGGCGAGGAACTTCCTCACGCTTATAATCTCCGATTCGTTTATCCTGTTCACCTCGAGCAGCCGGTCCCGCTCCTTCTGCAAGGCGGCCCGCTTTTCTGAGCACCGCCTGATGTGCCTCTCGGTGGTCTCCAGGAAGCTCTCGAGGTCCTCCATCGTGACAGCGCCCGAGTTGAGGCCGCGCTTCAGATCGCCGTCGCAGTTCGCCACGTTGCCGAAGTTGGTCAGCTCCTTCAGGACCGTGTTCGATTTTATCTCGGCCATCCGTTTGTGTATTATCTCCTGGTATTTGGCGGACACCTTGATTATTTGACTGGCGCGGTTTTCCATTGCGGTCATCTTGGAAATCTTGCTTTTGAGGTCGGCGATTTCCTCGTTCTTTTGTTGAAGGATTTTCTTGAGATCGATTGACAACTGCTGACAATTCTCTTGACTCACTTCCAAGTTTTTGGTTAAATCCAAGACTTTGTTCTCGGATTCCGCCATCAGAGACTTCAAAAATGTTATTTCGACTTGAAGGAAAGTTATCGTTCTGTTTTTGTCGTTCAGGATTTTTTCTAGGTCTCTAATTGTTTTATTACAATCCATGGTTGGATAAGAAACGTTTGTGGAAGATATGCAATCTACCTGTGGGTGAAGATCGTCTTGAATTTTTTCGGCTCGACCATCGCACTCGCCGGAACACTTCTCCTTGTTCAAAACAGCATCTAGAATGTTAAGATAATAAATACCATACTGTAAAGGATGTACACAATGATGAGCGCCTCGTCGTGTTCAGCTTGTACAGTCTTAGAAAGCTTTTAGTAACAAATAGAGAAAGGTTATACTGTGGTAGAGCCACGTCAGTCTTCGCTGCTCCACGAATGGGCAGGTCCGTCCGGGAATTTACACTTCCACTGCACGCCGATCTTCTGTGAGCAGTGCAGTGGAATTTACTTTAGTAAGTGCATTGCTTTTGGTTAGGGAACCCGGAGCCCACTATTAAAAGGTGGCAACGCGTCTGCGACCCCACGGGTGTTACAAACGTCCATAGGCGGCGTAATAAACAGTTTGTTTCTCACATAAAAAAAAACAAACGTTATTTAACGTAGGTATACCTTGGGTGCAAATTGTTTTTAACATGCTATGACCATCTGTTACTGTTGTGCAATTGTCTACTGTGGTAGGATCACGCAGCAGCTTCTGTAATTGACGCCCGGGGAAGTGCTACTTATCCTTACAAAAGGCGAGCGTAAAGTGGAAGTGGTAAAGTATTATAAAGTTTAGTTCGGTAACATAATCAGGGTCTATTTTGTATATGACAGCAACGCATCTACAACTCGCCAGATAAGCGGTGTGCGGTGGAAATCAGCTGAACTGATTTCTCGCCTGCCAACTTTTCACATAAAAATGTGTGGGTCTATTGTTGTCCGATTTCATAGAACGGAAATTTACTTGCGGTGAGCAACGGATCTCTAAATAAAGGCGCTTTCGAGAGAGCTAATTCTCTTTGATATATTTTAAATAAAAATAATAGATATGCCCATATAGGCATTAGACATATAGACTATTAGTTAACTTACTTGATTCAATTTGTGCAATTAATTTTTTATTTTCGTTCATTAAAACCTCAACCATTGCATGCTTATCCTCTTTCAATATATTTTGTAATCCGCGAATATGTTTTTCCCTCGATTCCGCCTCTTTTTGATATTGACCGTTGAGTAAGATTTCTTTAGATAGCTCGTCATTTATTTTACTGAGCAGTTCCTCCTTTTCTTGTATTACATTTGTTAATTTAATATTTTGTGCTTTCAGATCCTCTTCTCGACTTGCAGCTTCAGATTTTATATTTAGAATTTCATCTTGTAACGCTTTTATTTCGGCACGTCTTTGATTTAGTTCTTGTTCCACACTTCGTTGATTCTCTTGCAGGATGTTGCATTTCTGAATAAGCTCCGATTTCTCTGCGCTATTTTCTTTACGCAAAAGTTCATTCTGTTCCAGTTCCTTCTTGATTAGCTTCTCCAGAGTGGGTATCACTGAAAACACACACATATTATTACTTTTCTCAAAAATCAAATCTATCAGTGAAAGAATTAGATGAAGTTTAAGACTTACTAGATTTATTTTGTTCTAAAGTATTACTCAAACGAGTATTCTCCTCCGTCAGTTGAATAACTTTTTCATTTTTAATAAAGTCAAGTTCATTTTGCAATTTTTTAAATTTTGTCATAGTGTCATTTTGCTCGTTAGTCAATGTACTATTCTCTTTGGTAAGAGAGTCCTTTTGTGCTTCATACAAAGCTATTTTGTTTTCCAAATCCTTAAGTTGTTTCTCTTGGGTTACTTTTTCACTTTGTAATTTACCAATCATTATGTCATGAGCTTGTAATTTCTCTCGAAGCTCTAATGCCTTTTGTACTTGTACCTGAGCATCAGTTTCTAGTTTCTGATTGTTCTCAATTTGCATTTTTAGCGCTTGCTGCAAGAACTTCTTTTCATTTTCGAATTCAACTTCCAATGCGTCTTTTTTTATTTTCCACTCATCGTTTTCGATTTGTATTAACGCACATTCTGCAAGTTAGATTTTTTTTAATTTAATGTACTTAAATTTATTTCGCTGCAATACAGGGTTCCTATGGATTAACGTATAAACGCCTAAATATATAAGTTATTAAAATTTTACGTGAACGTTTATGTAAAATAAATACGAATAAGTGAACTAGCGAAATACTGCAACGCCTGTTGTATTGTAATAGATGGGAAAGTAATTGTTTATAGAAGTAATCGCCACCTAAGTTTAATTTTACTATTAAGGAAATTTTATTGATATTTTGTAAGAAAAAAATCTGTTTTATATAAACTATGACAACTGTATAAAGCTTACCCTGCTCTTTTCTCCTAAGCCTTTCAATAATTTGTTCATTATCTTTTTTAATTACTTCCATTTCTTTCGTTACATTTTCAATCGCACTAACTCTGGATTTCAGCTCGGATATCGTGATCTCTTTGCATTCAATTTCTTTTTGATTTTGTAATACTGCTGCCCTCTGTTTGTCTAGTTCTTGCGTTAATTCCTGTATTTTTGAGTCTTTTTCTTCATTTATTCTGATTAAATTCACATTATTTAATTTCAAATCTTCTTCACACAGTTTTGCTTTGGAAATAAAAACGTCGATTTCTTTTTTTAATTCATTTACTTCCAAATTTCTTTGCTCGAGACTACGCTCGGCTTTAGTTAGGTTTTCTTGAAGAAGACTGCATTTATTTGTTAGATTTATTTTCTCAGAATCGCTACATTGGCGTAGTTTATTATTTTGCTCTATTTCATTTTCAATGCGCTTCTCCAAATTTATTATTACTGAAAAGAGAAAATACAGATGGGGTAAAAAACTTTTTTACTGAGCTATAATTCTCAACAAAATACACAATAATATAACATGTAATTTAAATATTACCTACCATTTTTATTTTCTTCAATTACATTAGTTAACTGTATGTTATCTTCTTTCAGTCTAGGTATTTCTACAAACACTAGAACTTTCATTTGTTCTTCAAGCTTATTAATTTGCATTAAACTATTATTTCTCTCTTGTATTAAACAATATTTCTCGTTTTCCAAGACTTCCCTTTCCTTGTTTAGATCATCCAATATTTTTTCTTTTTCACTATTTGCTTTTTCCAAGCCTTTGATAACATTATTATTTTTATCAATTACTTCTTGATACATTGCTGATGCTTTATTTTGTTTTTCTAATTCATCAGCTGCAAGAGAATATTTTTCTTGCAAAATATTATAATCAGAGGTATGTTTTAATTTTTCATTTTCAAGGGTATGACAAACAGCTAACTTTTCAGTATGTTCCAATTGTATCTGATTTTGTAACTCAATTATATCTGTAACAATAATTCAAATAATATATATGGATTAAATAAAAATATAATAAACTAATTGTACTCTGTCAACCCAACTTTATAAACATAAGCTTGAAAAATAAACAAATATATACCAATTTTTTTTTCTTCCACTGTGTCCAATAGTTTTGAATTTTCTTCAGTTAAGGTAAACAAATTGTTTTTTAGTTCTTGTAATTTGTTATGAAGGCTCACAATCTTCGATTCAAGCTCTTCTTTCTGTACTGTCAATTTATATCTCTCAGATTCCAAGAGTTTATTTTTATTATCGAGTTCACTCTTTTCTCTGTCTTTTTCATCAAGTAATGATTGTTTACTGACTTTATCTGCTTCCAAAGAAGCAATACTACTATTTGAAGTTTTCAATTTCTCTTCCAGTATTTCAATAGTTTGTTGATTTTGTTTTAACTCTTCCATTAGTTTCGAATTATTATTGTTAAGTTTAAATAATGACTCCTGCATAGATTGTTTTTCCTTCTTCAAAGTTTCGTCCATAATGTCTTTTATGCTTTTCCATTCACAATTTTCGTCTTGCAAAATTGATAGTTCTAAAATAGAATTCATAAACAATTTTTATCCATCAGTTATAAAGTACACTTGATAATAATTAAAAACAAGATGTTAAATTTTTTGTGTCATGATGTTAATCAAATGCAAAAACAACGAATTTGGACTTGTTTTAATTTTCATTATCTTACCATGAACATGTCGAGAAAACCAGACATAGTAAGAGTAGACTTATGAAACATGCCTTTGAAATATTATTATTTAAATAAACCACTTAACAAAAAAACCGAATGAGATTGGGGCTTCGACTAGAATTTTTAAATGTTGGATTGAATCCAAGTCATATGCCGCAATGGACTTTTTCTAAGTGTATTCAGTTTAAGATAATCGCTGTTGACATTTAAAACAACATTTACACAAAATCAATTTTGAATAAATTGATCTGTTTGTTACGTTATTTTAAATATCTGCGTAAAGACAATATTTTATGAAAATTGCCAATGTAATTTGCGTATTTTATAAAAATTTTGTAAGAAAAAAGAATAAAGAGGGGTTTGATGGAGATGGACAACCGTTTGGAGCGGAATTATTATAATCGCTATATTTTTTTTGTGTTAAATAAAATTAAGATTAAGAGTCATTATAAAATAATTGTACAAATTATAAAATGGGATTAACGGAAATAAATTTGGTATTGCAGATAAATTTGTAGAACTGCTCACACAATTTATCACGCAAATATTATTATTTATATTAGCAATATAAATATTTTGCATGTCTCCAAATTTGGAAGGCAAGCCGAATCGATTGAAAATTTTTAATTTCCCAGGACCTAGGACCTCTGTTCTAACTATGTGCCTAAATCTTAAAAAGAACCTGGTATCTATTGCATACATATTCAAAACTTACATACCTTTTTCCTTCTCTGAAAGTGAGGAAAATAATAAACTATTTTTAGCATTTAAATGACTAACTTCTTCATCTCTATCTATTACTTCAAGTTTCAGATCATCAAGTCTTCCTTCAAGAGTATCACATTTGCTTTTGTAATCATTTTCGATTTCATTAATCTTTACCATTGTTTCTTCAATTTTATTCTCTAGACATGCTTTCTCACTTTCAAGTTTAGCTTTTTCTTTAAAACTTGTCTCAATTATACCTTTCAATTTGAATATCTCTGCCTTTAATGATTGTATTTGTATTTCTTGGTTTTCAATAACTTTATTAGAATGTATGGTAACTTCTTTCAATGTTTTTTCAGTGTCACTTAATTTGGAAACAAGTTTAGATATTTCATGCTCAAAATTATTTTCAATCTCCATAAACGCAACCATTTTGTCATTTAATTTTCGTTCCAGTGTTTGAATTACTGCAATAATTAAAAAAAAATAATGAAATAAAATTAGTAATGATTATTAACGTAATCTCAAACATTATCAAAATATAATCACCAATTAAAAATAGCAGTTAAGAATAAAGTAATTTAAATAAAGGAAAAATTAATAATACAATATAAAAATTATTAATAATACTCACTCGCTCCCTTTTCCTCCATTTTCTGTGATAAATTTTCCCGCTCAATCTCCATTTGCGTAATGATATCACATTTCTCATTGAATTTTTTAATTACTAGACTATTTTCGTCACTCAGTGACTTACTGGAATCAGCAAGAGTTTGTTTCTGATCATTTACAGTAGCTAATTCTGTGTTAAGTGTGTCGATTATTTTACAATATTCAGATTTTTGTTGTTCAAATGATTTGTTAAGATGCTCCAGTTTATCTTCATAATCTTCTATCAGTTTAACTTTATGTAAAAGTTCGATCGAAAGCCGTTCCGTATCAGTTTTAAGTACATAATAGTCCTGTTGAAGTTTTGACAATAATTCTTCTTTTTCATGTATTGTTGTATTATTTGTCTTAATTATTTCATCCTTTTCAAGCATTTTACTCATAACTTCAGCTTGTTCAGCGTGTAATTTTGTATTCGTATTGGATAGTTTGGTGATAACGCCTTGGGTCTTTTCTAGCTCACGTTGTATTCCCAATTTAAAGTCAATTTCGTTTTGCAACTGTGTTTGAAGCGATTTAACCATGGCGCACATTTCTTCAAATTTGCATTGAAGCATATCCTTCTCTTCATTATGCATCTGTTTCAGTGTATCTAATTCTATGCGCAATTTCTCAGCGCTGATTTGGCGATTTTGAATGTCATCAAGCAAAGACCGTTTATTTTCTTCTAGAATTCGACAATCTTCTTTTAAAGTCGACGTCGACATTTTGAAATATTCAAGATCTTTGACCATTTCTTCAATGCATTCATCGCGTTGGTGTATTTGTTTTACCAATTCTGTAACCTCCTTACATTTACCTTGCAGTTCCTTTTCAACATTGCTTTTTTGTGCATGCAAAAGTTCCAAGTCTTTGTTGTATTTATTAATTGTTTCATCTTTGAGCTCCCGTTCCTTTCGAAGTTCTAAATTTAGTTGCTCAATCAATTCACTCTTTTTCAAAATATTATTTTGCTGCTCTACCAACTCATTATTTCTATTCAATACTTTTTCTTTCATCTTCATAACAAGATTTTCGTAATCATCTCTCATTTTCGACTTTGAAAGTTTTTCTGAATCTATTTCGGTTTTCAAGTTTTTGATCATGTTCTCGGATTTTGTAGTTTCGTCAGACAAGCTTTGGAGAAGTGACAATTTTTCTTCCTGCAGTGTTTGAATATCTTGCATCTTTTTCTCAATAACTGAGCTTGAATGTTTTACATTATCTTTTATTTTTTGTTCTAATTCATTAACTAAATTATTTAATTTCGTGATTTCTTTGTCAAAATAAGATTTCAAATTATTTTTTTCTTCAATTTCTTCATTTATACGGTGTTTAAGATTTAAAATGTCATTCTCTCTATCTGTTACACTTTTCTGCAAAGTTTCAGCTATTTGTATTTGTTCCTTCATTTCATCCTATAACACAAAATATTCATTAGATTTACAAGCGTCACTTAATTATAGATTTACTTCTAACTGCAAAAAAAATACCTGCAATGATTGAATTTGTTGCTTTAGTGCCAAACATTTCGCTCTTTCTTCGCCTAACTGAACTTCAACCACATTCGCGCAAACTTCGCTACAGACAGCTGAAATACAGATCAAAGGTCACATTATTTTGTGCCTAGTTACTTCTTTCATAAAACTAAAATGCCTTAAAAGAAATTTACTAAAATGGAAAGCTAATAATATTCTAGTGTTATCACCAATAACACTTTTTATCATAATCATCATGATTTCAGTCTCATTGCATCCACTGTTCTGAACATAGGCCTCCCCCACAGACTGCCACGAAGCGCGAGTTGTATAGGATGTTATAAATTTTGTTTCTTTTTTACTTAATTAGTTTGTTTGAAAAATATTTTTTTTTAAGTATGGATTCTGTTTAACGTTAATATTTTTTATGATTATTAGCAAGTAGCGTTAGACGTGTGTTCATTTATTGCCGCGATGGTAACGACACGCTGTATGTCATATAAGGCTATTAGAACCAGTAATTAGAACTTTTAAAATTGGTATTTGAGCAATACTGAACAGCTCTTGAGAACAATATACAACAAACTCTACGAAAATAATCTCACAGAAACTACGTTGCAGTGACTGCACACTGGTGTCGGGGTCGTCACATTCCAATAGGCTTGAGTCTAAGCCATTGCGGTGATTGTGTTGTCGCAGTTCTATAACGAGCTCACGTAAGGTTTGACTCTGTCTTTTCTCCGTCTCCAACTCCTCAGCCAAATGCCTGGATCGAGAGGCTTCCTCTTGACTTAACAATAGTAACCGATCACATTCACCTTTTAAGTCGTCCAACTGAAATTAGTATGATTTGTAAGTCGATCTTATTTCTAAGTTTTAAATTTTTAAACAAAAAGACGAAAAGCTTTTCACCACTGCGAGAATCTAACTCACGTATACCGTATTCATGCACAGATGCTTTAGCCGCTAAGCTAAACGGCTGATTGCCACACTGACGAAAATCACAATTTCTTTTATCTACATTGTTTTCTCGCATTTTAAACAATGCTTGACGCATCTATTGAAACATTATTTAGAGCATTTAAACAATTTCAAATATCGTATAATTCGAACGTGAGATGTCGCCATTGCTATATCAATTTTTTTTATATTACTGCACTTAAGATGAGATATTAAAGTTTGCAGACTGCACTTAATATGAAAAATTTAAATTTGTTTTTTTGTCTACAAATTGAATTGACAATATGGAATTTTAAATGTCCTGCAACTATGCAAGTTGAATCAATACTACAAAATACTCAAACACAAATGGCAAACATTTGTCGCATTTGAATATTACGTCATTTCTGTCCTCATATTGTATCAGAGCCGTGATAGTTCAGTGTCCAGGCGCTCGCTTTTAAATCAATAAACTCGAGCAACCTGATAAACCATGGTGCCAGCCAGCACTAATACTACTAACTCACTTTACTATAATGTGTGTGTAATGTAATACTACTAACTCTTTGTTTTTGAAAATAAAAAAAAATTTAATTAACGGTTTAATTAAATAACTTGGAACTATAGGTAAACTAAAAAAAAGATTGGTTGCCATTGTAACTCCATAAGGTCGGCGTCGCTTTTAGATGTCGTGTATCGTAAAAATTAATTCTCATCATTTTTCCTAACGCAAAGCACACCCTAACCAAAAGAGTAAAGTCTGCCTGCCATTCGGCAGTGGGGTCGCGTGATGGACTGTGCTCCTGATACCCTCTATACAGAGGGTATCAGTACCCTTTGTCCACTGTTACAAAGGGTTATCAGTACCCTTTGTAACAGTGGGACTTGTACAGACTGTTACTTTACTTTACTTTTACGTTATATTTAGAGGACTCGAATTACCTTAGTTTTATAAGTGTCCCTTTCGTGCTGCACTTCTTCCAGCTGCTCCTGTACATCGACAACACGTTGCTCCATCAATTGCAATTGTTTGGACAACTTGACAATCTCGCTGCTTTTGGCTTCGACTCTTTGAGTTTCGGTATCCTGACCGCAACACATTGATATTTTCGCTTTGAGATTCATAATGTCCATCTTATATTGCTCTTTATCTTTCACTGCAAAATCACAACTGGTGCTAAAATCACAGCTGATATTAAAAACCGGCCAAGTGCGAATCGGACTCGCGCGCGACGGGTTCCGTACCATTATTTATAAAAGCGGCAAAAAAAACATATCTGTTGTATGGGAGCCCCACTTCAATATTTTCTATTCTGTTTTTTAGTATTTGTTGTTATATCGGCAACAGAAATACAGCATCGGTGAAAATTTCAACGGTCAGCCTGGTAACAGACAGACATAAAGACGTTACGTACAGACATAAGGATGTTAGTAATAGGGTCCCATTTCACGCTTTGGGTACGGAACACTATAAATTCTAGTGTTTTCGAAAATGCATGCATCCCTGTTAACAATAGTTAAGTTTATACATGTCGTACTCTTTCCTTTTGTTGTTTTAACAGCTACACACAAACAAATAAAACAAATAAACAAATAAATAGAATTATGTATTGAAACCTATTTGAACCTGCTTCAAAATGGGAAACAATTATGAATATAACTGGCTGCAAAGACTTACGCAATTTTTCCATTTTCAAATTGGTCCTGGCTAGTTCGTCCTGTAAGTAGTTCTTGTCAAATCTCTCCGCATCCAGCGTCGCCTGCAGCCGCCGGACCTCGCCGTGAAGGGAGCGCAGCGCGGGTGGGGTCTCCGCCACCATGGATTGACCACAGGCCCCTTCGCCAGTCGCCATATCTGGACCGCAGGCCTCTGCAAACGGCTGAATGTGTCAATTTCATAATCCCTTTGTATACGAAATTGTACGGACCGTACATCTCTATACCTTCTCTGTACCACCCCGAGGTTGACGGGGAGATAATGCCTTTGCCATTAAGTCCGCCTTAGCACTATTTGTGCGTAAAATATAAATAAATAAGCGCCTATCATTTCGAGACGAAATGTGGCAGTTTTCATCGATTTCGTTCAAGTACATTCGCGCGTGCACCGACCATCAAAAATCGACATTTATTGCCATGGTAACACTGCACGGTATTACCATGGCAATCAATAACAACTTTTGGACATTTACCAATAATTCCAAGTTGTTTAATTAAACCATTATCAATTGCAATTAATGTATTTACACTATACAAGGTTCTCAACAAAAATCCGACGACGCAAACGAAATCGCTAAATACCAATTTTTTCGTGTTAAAGAGATAATTAATCTTAACGTTATACTTTTGCCTACTATTGAAAGTGACGAAATAAAAAAAAATCCTAGCAGCAAGTAAATGATTAAATATTAGTTTCCATGTACAAACGATGAAAATGCGTTAAGCCTATAAGACGGGCAGGTAATAGAAACAAATTTACAGAATATAAAAGTTAGTGCTCATGCACATCTACTTCTTGAAGAATGTAATCCTGTATTGGAACTTATGGCTTAAACCAATTGTTGTTGCAGTAAAGCACTAGCTAAGCATAGCCTCGCAAATGCCAAACCCGATCTCATTTTCAATGAATATAATACATATAATTAATGACCCTTATTATCTTCACTTATCTCATCACTAATGAATTATAACATTATTATTATATTGTATTTGAACAATTTTTTAGAGACTAATAATTTTAAACGCATGAACGGGTAGGTGCATCCAGGCAAGTACCACATGCTCACAGAAGACCAGCGTGAATTGAGAGTATCATACTTCTGCGTTTCGTCTGGTGAGTGAGGTAACTGGGGAAATGTCCATGGGTGATGGTTATAACTTAACATCAGGTGAACCGCTAGCTATCTTGCCACATTCTCATATAAAAACATCAAGAAATTTATATTAATGTCCATGGGTGATGGTTATAACTTAACATCAGGTGAACCGCTAGCTATCTTGTCACATTCTCATATAAAAACATCTAGAAATTTATATTACTAATAACTAACTTTGTTATTGAGATCATTTATCAGATGTAAAGTTTGTGAATAAGTACATAATTGACAATTACAGTTTATTTGTTACATTTAAAAAAAAAACAATATTTTATATAAAAAAAATAAAATCAAATTTTATTTGTTAAACAATATGAATATTATAAAATTTATATGTTAGAAAACATTAAATTAATATCTGGTTTTAAAAAACTGGTACACATAAAACATTTACTAGGCTATAAATTATCCTAATGAAAATAGGTAATGAATGTATTAAAATGAATAAGCATTATTATTTACTCATATAAAATTAATATTTTATAACTTCCATAATAAAGTAGGATATACCATTCAGGAAACAGCTGGTTAATGGCCTTCCCCCACACTTAACATCTGCTAGCTGCTTTGCTAATAATAACAGTTGGGCCATTTGCCATACAGAAAAAACTCACCCCTCTTTATTCACCTCATGTTATAAGTTTTACAGGTAAAAGGCATATTCAAATTTGCAAATGGTTTACTCTATGTTTAAATTATTTATAGGAGAAAAATTCTAATAGAAAGATACAATTGAAAATAATAAAAGTAAATAAGAAAAGTAAACAAATTTAAATTAGAAATCCATAGTAAAATTAGTTTTAATCATATTAATATTCGCTTAAAAATTTAGCCTTTGGATTTGTTTCATTATTTAAGTTTTAATGAGTTATGAGTATTTTTTACAATATATTGATATATTACTAATTATAATTTCGTCAAGTAGGTAACTTGAACTTTTTATGAATTTCTATTTAAAACCTAATTTTTGGTTTGTTAGATTTGATAACAAATTTAGGTTGAGATAAGCCTAAACCTTGAAAAGAGTAAATAAAATGAGCTTTTTATTAAAATTACGTACTGTAAAATTTTCAACAATAAATAGTGTTGTTTAAAGTACCTGCAATGGCTGCAATAACATCGTGAGAAGATATTGAATGGCACTCCATTAAAGTCTTGCTGTACCTTAATATAACTTCTTGATCACCAGTACTCAACTTACTGCACATCGCACTTTTTATATCCACGTCTTTTGAATTAACACAAACAAAAAAAAGTAAAAGTGATGCCGCTATGTATATTTCTTCTTCATTCGTGACTTCAACAGTACCATTTTCAAATGTAAAACCAGGATACTTTTCTGCAATGAACTCCTCTAAAGAACGTCCGCTAAAAACAGAGGATTTCGACTCGTCAAGATTGAAATTATCTCTTAAATGGGATATGATGTTTACTAAAGATTCATGCTTCACGAGTTTTTCGTTTTTATTATTGTTTTCATAGAAGTAACAGTTGATCTGAAATATAAAAAACATTCCATAATAAAAACAAATATATAATAAGCCTGCAGCATATAAAAATCATTAACTCACCCAGTTCGCAATAATATACTTCCATTTTTGATGCATGATGTGACTCTTAATCAAAGAAATATTATATCAACCTTTCAAATTCATAACATAGAAAGCAATTCAAAAGCGACAATTTTGGTCTTCACATTAATTATCAGCCAATGAACATTTTTGCCGTTGAAGTTCAAAATGTTTTGTCATACATAACGTTTTCTACCACTTCAAATTAAAAACAATGTCTGTCACATCACATAGATGTGTGTTGCCCTATGTCCATATTTTAATTTTGTAAAAGCTGTACCTACTAAACCGATATTTCTTTTGTGAACTTTTGTACGCTGTTTGCCCGTCGGCTTTGACTTCGGAAGAGGTCCACCTGTAGATGACCAACGGACTTATGAGAGAACAACAAAGTTCCTTTATTACTATTTATTTTTCTACTACTATTATCTTACTACTATTTATCTTTCGAATTATTAATCTTTCCTAAACGGGGGTCGCGGAAATGCAGTGGAGGGGGTAGCGTAATCATGTCATCGTAGTTCGTCGTTATTTCTTGTTTTCTTGTGAACTGTTCAGATAAACCTTGTGAATAGATGCCAGATAAACGTTTCCGGAAGACGTGGGCGCGATTCCCGCAGCGAAGAAAAACTTTTCGTCCATTTTTTCTACAAATTTTAATGTTTTAACTCAAGTACAGAGATTACCACTATCAAAATTATTGCAATCAATGGATAATTGTTACTTGCAGGAACCAAACTAGATAATTGTATGAGCAATATTGGAAAGTAAAGGATGAGAATCAAGAGCGGTAAAAGAATAATAAAAAAATAATGTCATAAAATCATCAAATGTCAACACTGGTCAACATCAGTGATGTGACGAGTTGATTTTTTTTTGACTCGAGTTACTCGAGTTGATTTGGCTACTGACTCGAATCGCAACTTGAGTTGACTCGCATCGAATTACATTTCACTCAACTCGAGTTGATGCGAGTTGCAACGCTCGAACCGCGCGCGCGAGCCGCGTGTGTAACTCGGAATAAATCGTGAGGCCGCCGCGTATAACGTCCGGCTTGCGTTCGGACGACCGAGTTGATTCGAGTTGCTTAAAACTGAACTCGAGTTGACTCGTTTAAGGTTTGACTCGAGTTACTCGAGTCAAATAACTCGAGTCGCACATCGCTAGTCAACACTCTTGTCAAGTTTTGTTGTTGAATGTTCTGTTGATATTGATAACATTTGCTTGGAGTAGTTAGGCTTAATTAAATTTACTGCAATTATGTAATATAATATGTAAAGATAATTTGTTTGCAATCTACACTTTTTTACTAAATTGTTATCATGTCACCTACTCGTGCGGCTGGGTTAGTAATATTCCGGTACACAAATAAAGCAATACAGTTTCTTCTTTTGCAGACCTCATATGGTGAACATCATTGGACTCCACCAAAGGGTAATTAAAATAATGAAATATGTTTTCAAATAGAGTAAGAAAACTACAATAGTTTTATTACAATAGGTCACGTAGATCCCGGTGAGAGTGATTGGATAACCGCTTTACGAGAAACTAAAGAGGAGTCAGGACTTTCAGAAAATGAATTGGAAGTAAGTGTAGTTCCAAAATATTCTACAACTATAAAATATAAAAAATGCTGGACTTATTTACTTTTTTATATAATTAAAAATTACTGAAAACAATATAGTTATCATATCCTCTTTGTTTCTATAGTATTATAAACATACAAGCGTATGGTTATAATACTATTTATCACTAAGTAGTAAATATAAAAGTTCTGAAAGAAACTGTTGAAATATTTATTTGTTTATTTGATCTATGGCATTCCTAATCCCAAAACTATTTAAATTGTTTGTTGTCTCTATTTTTATTATTTTAGGTATATAGAAACATAAGCTACACACTTAATTATGAAGTAAATAAAAAGCCTAAGTGTGTTACATATTGGCTTGCCAAATTAAAAAATCCTGATCAAACTGTTACATTGTCTGATGAGCATCAAGACTACAAATGGCTGCCCTTACAAGAAGCTCAAGAATTATCTGGTTATGATGACATGAAAAAATTGCTTGAAGAATTTCATACAGAAGTGTTAAAGTTGTTGTAAATACAATTACAAAAATAAACAAGCATTAATACATATTCAAATTGGTTTAAGGCTTTTTGATCATTTGTCTTAAATTAAATGAAAAAAAAAAAAATAGTAAAATAAAATTTTATACAGTCTGGATCAGTTGCATGAAGTCACATGGAATTGATGGAATGAGTTTTTTTGTTGTAGACATCTGCATAGTTACCTATATTTACTTACCTGTTCATACCTGATTGCAATGCAGCCATGACTAGAAATAAGTCTGCAAGCCTACCAAGGCATACTCTCCACATTAAAAATGATATATTATAAATAAATATGTTTGGTTGTTAAAAGAATAAAGGTTAGATGTACAAAAAATTTATTTAAATTAGCCATGAACACTTCTCAATCTGCAATTCGTCATTGGCATGTTTATAAATCAATAATATTACAGAAAAAAACGGCCAAGTGCGAGTCGGACTTACACATGAAAGGTACCATTATCTGTAAAAATGGCAAAAAAAACATGGAGCATCATCCTTGGGAGGACTCGCTGTTCTTTTGCAAGGATCTGTGGCCTATCAAACCTGATATAATGGTTGGGGCGATTGGAAGTGTGCTCACATAATTCAGACTTATTGACTCTGTAATGTTTTAAGTTAGCTATATAGCTCTTTTTTTAAGCTTTTTTTGTTTGACCTATGTGCATAGCTATAAAACCCGCGTGAAGGAACATATAGCTGACGTAAAACATCACAGAATCAATAAGTCTGCAGTATGTGAGCAGTTGAGCACACTTTCAATCGCCCTAACCATAATATCAGGTTTGATAGACTACAGATCCTTGCATAAGAACACCGATTCCTCCCAAAGATGATTCGCGAGACTATAGAAATTAAAAAACACCCAAATTTCAATAGAGAAGAAGGTTGGGTGCTACCATCGGCTTGGGATCCTATTATTAATATTATTAAATCTAGGCCCAAACGAACTACTACTGCAAGAAAAGATAAAATTAGCATGTTCTGTGTAGATCAACACAAAAATTAATAATCAAAAAACTGGCGGTAGCCCGGGTTAACAATGACATTCAGACGTCCAACGCCTCAGTTTGTTCCGTGATCATTAACGCTGTTAAGGGTTCGAAACGTCGGGTATTAAAACCAAAATAAACGCGATAAATTCGTAATCATAGTTTTATTTAGTAAAGTGTAATCGCATAAGTACAAGAAATTAGATTTCAGATATATAAAATTACTCTTTGAATTGGACGTATTTGCTTTTAAATGGCAACACATTTTCTTTTGCCTGCTTTGACTGATGTCTGCGCAATTGACAAACAATTTGAAAAGTCCTAGTGATGGTATACTTGCTAAATCGCGTACCACGTCTTAAAAGTACGTCTACCTTCTCATACCAGGTACATATATCAGGTATTAAAATACTTTCAAAGTATTTTCTGTCCAATGCAACGAGGCGAATACTTGTTTCCTTGCAAGTTTAAACCTTGATCCAATACAAATAAGATTCAAAATAATCCAATCAATACCTAAAATACTTTGAAAGTATTTTGTTTAACGTATAAGCACAATCTGAACCTTATGTGTATGAACATTAGTTCTAATCATAATGAACATGACATCTAATCAAGTGAGAGAGACACAGCAGGCGAGACCGATATACATTGCTTCGCCATCGCACGGCCCACACCCAGAATTCAGCCAAATAGTACTGAACGACGAGGGACACGAGTTCCGAGAAAAATAAATTCGATTCGATTCATTCAACGTTCGAGTTCGATCGATGTAGTAATACTTACTTTGAAGGGCTGCTATAGTTTAATGCTTTTTGCATTTGCTTTCAAGTCTTGCAAGTATATCGAGTCGGTACCTGGTTGCTATACATGCAAGGAAGTACCTGGTATCAATACCTGGTAACGTAAATACGTACCATCGTTCTAAAGTACTGTCGTTTTCTAAACGGATTTCGATATTGAATATTTTGACGTATCGGATAAAAATATGTTGAATAAAAATCTATTACATTAATCTAATTCTAATGTCGAAGCTATTCACTATTGTTATATCATGTCTTATATTTTATTTTATGTGAAGAAGTTAGACGATTAAGCTTTACTTGATGGCAAATGGCACTGGCAACACACTTACTGCCACTGTTGTTCACGGGTGCCAACTTAGGAGTTTTCTTCCTAAATTTAGGAAGAAAAGGTTTACAATGGAAGTTTTTTAGGAGGAGAAATTTTTGGGAATATTTTTAAGAATAAAATTTTATTCATATGTATGAAAAAAAACCCATACAATTTTAAACACAAAATATAAATTTTAAAGTTTTTTATAGTGCTAATCTCTGCACCTAAGATTGAACATTAAAACATGTAGAAAAAGTACGAATAAAATATAATATAATGGTATTGGCACCTTTGTATATAGTGTATAACAGTGACTACAGTTGGCTGCATTGGCTTAAGTAGTATTTTAAATTGTTCCGCCATAAACGCTTATTGTGAATATACGTCTACGCGTAATATATTCATTCAATAAGTAATATAAAATGCCAAAGGGTGACAAAATTGCCATCAGAAGTATAATTAAATAAAACAGTTTTGATCTACCTTGTTAGAGAATTTAAAAAAAGGTAACTTTTTAAATTTAGGAAGTTTTTTTTCGAAAACAGTGGATTTTAGGAGGTTTTTGAATTTCCTTAGGAGTTTTTTTTTCAACAGTTGGTAACACTGCTGTTGTTATGAAATCGTTATTATTTTATTCTGATCAGATTTTGCATAGAAATACAATGATGAACTAACTTCAATTGTTATTACTAATAGTATTATTTTTTTACATATATTCAAATAGAACATTTTATAATGAATGAATCAGGAGATAAAGATGGCCAAATAATTAACTCTAACAGTCCACTAACGATAACCGAAAGTGATATAAAAAGCAAAAGAATAAGCCGGTGCCGAAAAAGAAAACGGTATGAATTTTAATGTTTTATTATGTCACTATTATGTTAATATAATTTATCACGAGAATTTAAAATTCCAAGTAAAAAATCCCTAATCGAGTTGTACGATAAATATATTCTTTCATTTTGTATATATCATCTCATTCTTACAAAACATTTAACTTGTTCTGCACAACATATCATATTAAAATCTTACAATGTGAATATTATAAGTTATATTAAAGTTTATTCAAATATCATAAAGTTACCACTTCATGATTATTGAATAAACTTTATACAATATATATACAGCTAAAGTAACATTAATTAATATATTTTAAGACTGGAAAATTCAAGTAGCTCGGAGAGTGAGAGTATGCTTCCAGAAAATGCTTTAGAAATGGAAAAAAACCTACATGCCTCAGCTATAAAAAACAATCTGGATGATGCAAGTGTAAAGAAAATACTTAAGGTTTGTTAACAATATAAAAAAATATGGCAAATTTTCAGCACATTGACAGGCTTTATATACATTTCTATTAAAAAAACAATAGAGAAAAAATTGCTAATGAATTAATCAACAAGCAGAATTCTCTTCGCTTATAATTTTCGAGAAAGTATAATTTAAAATGTTTGGTATTTTCACTAAGAAAGTCCGCTATTTTATTATTTTGTCTTCAAAAAATTATTACATAGTCCTGCTAACATGATCAATACAGGAAGCGGGCAAAGTTGTATTTGTTTGATAATTATTATTTTTTTTTCAAATTTAATGAGTCACAGAACTGACTGACTCAGTGTTAAGGCAGGGCCACCCAGCAATAAGAGTAGAATTAACATATTGACAACAACAAAATGCTTGATATCTATAGTGAAAATTACAATGGTCTATAATATTTTATTTGAAATTAAGCAACCTGAGAATTCTACTTGTTCATTAATTTTTCTTTAACCTTTAAAATTTATTTTAATTGCAATATACGCCCATCAATGTCCTGAACATTTACCAAAAAAATATTTGAGTATTATTGTTTGGCTATGAAGATTTTTTTTTGCCAGGTGACAAACAAGTTGGCGGTTCACCTGTTGTTTAGTGATAACCACCACTCATGGATTTGCAACACCCTTCGGGTTGTAGGTGTTTTGCCACCTTTTAATAAAGTGGGCACCAGTTACCGTTACTTACAAGATGAAATGCATAAATTTAACACTTCCACTTCACAAGAGTCTCCTGTGAGGTTGTGGTACTTCCCCAGACAGACCTGCCAATTTTTGCAACAGCAAAACTGTTGAATCCACTATTGGTTTTAAGAATTTTAACTATTATTTAACATTACTTAAATATCTTATGACTAGTTATTAGAAACAATGTTTATTATATTGCTTTATGAAGAATTATGGAAGTTATGGTTTTCTGACAAAAAAACATTTTTGAGAAATAATATGTAGAGATATAGACCTTACAGATTCAAAGAATTTTAGACTAATTGTCACAAAAACATTGTAAACCTTCAATCCTTTCATTATGATTAAAAAATGAGCTTAGCATGGGAAAAATTATTTTTTATTTTGTCTAAATCTAGTTTGTTATCATAGTATGAAAATTTTATAATTATAAATAATTAATATTTGATTAATAAAAAATTATTACCTAAATCAAATGATAAAAGTTACATTAAAACACCCTTTTTACAGAAAGTAGTGACAAATGATCATGTATTAGCATTGGTAAAGTTAAGGGAGGAAGAAGAAGAATCTAGTACAGAAGAAAATATTAGACCTAAACTGACCAGAGCTAAAGTTAAGTAAGTTAACAAACATTTATATTTAAGCTAATTTAAGGGTTAATAAAATATCAGTGGTGGTATGGGTGAGTGCTTTGGGTGTATACAATAAGAATAAATTTATTTTATTTGCATTAAAAATCACAACGATCACACACAGATCAAGCCTTGTTGACATCGCTTGCATCAGAGGGGGCACCCTTGGTGTATAAAATGTTAATAAAAACTAATCAGTTTGAGATGAAAAAATATTGAACATATTTTATGACAGGCCTATTAATTATAAATATTTGTGATTTATTATATTCATAATATTCTTCTTTTTGGTTATGCAGGGGGTGAGTGTCTAAAATCATTGAGTTTGAGAACATAATACTTAAACGACCCTGAAACAAATTTCCCTGCCCTAAAACTTGGCACTATACGTACAAGTCCTCACTCCTCACGCCCCGTGCGGGTGAGCTAATTAGAGTTCTTACTTCACTTATCTTTATTTGCTTCATTTAAACTTGACATAAAATTTTTTTTTACTTAGCCTCATAATAGTAAGCATTAATGATTAACTTGATGTGAAGTGTCTGTGAGTTTTCCACACCTATTTGTCGAATGGAGCCCCCCACAATCTCCTCTATTTAGAAATGTTCTGATAAGAGATAAGACATATTAAAATCTTATAATTTAAATGGATTAAAGTTTATATTCATGTAGTATTTTGATAACAAGATTAAATGTTTGTATTAAGAAATTAAGATTTTATTCTGAGTAAGTTGTGATAATTAACCTTTATAGTGTTAATAAAGAATAAATCTATTGTGTAGCTCCTTCGCATGTTAGGTTAAGTGGAGGGAGGGAGGCCATTGAGTAGTGCCCTTTCTATGTTATAAATAAGCACTCTACTAATATATTTGGAAATTAGAATAAATAATTAATAAGCACAACATGTAAAATAGGGTTTAGGTGATGATCCGCTGGCTTTCGATCATTGCCTGCTTGATACGCGTCCGAAATTTTAAAGATGTAGGGCTTGATTTGACAAGTGGCTGCAGAACAGCAGCTGACTTCTAATATTTACACTATCACTTATGCTTCCTTATAGGACGACAAAGATATAACAATAAAATATCATAAGCTATTTTGTACTATCACAGAGAGCTGATGAAAGTATCACCTAAGAATGCACCATGGAGCTTAGAACTTACGCCAATAAAGCACATACCAATTAAGACGCGGCCAGAAGTCAAAGCCCTGATCGCCCAGGAGTTGCCTGACGACGAAGATGACGATGAATATGAACCAACCCATGAGGATCTTCCAGTATGCTATCATTTTTTAAGTCTACAATGATCAGGCCAACTATAGTGTTAGTCACTATTTTCGAAATTACCATATATTTTAGATTGAGGAGATTTTTTTAAGCAGACTGAAAATAAATATAAATTTCGGCTATATTGCTATAGAAGGGTTATTTAAAACGAGATATATAAATAAAGAACTCTGTTACAACACAGTCTTTGTTGTTGCATGAATGGGCAGGTCCATCCGGTGAAGTACCATGTCCTCACAGAGACCAACGTGAAGTTCTGCTTTTCGTCTGGTGACTGAGGTAGCCGGGGCCCACTTCATTAAAAGGTGGATTCAAAGGTTGGATTAAAAGGTAAATTCATCTGAAACCCTTCTAGTGTTGCGAATATTCACTGGGGGTGCATGTCGCTTAACACGAGTTAGAAGCCAGCCCGCTGAGCAAAAAGACGGGGACAATGTTCAGATGTTTATGAAAAAAAAATAAAGAAAGAAAAAATAGATAAAGACTGAAAGCGATTTAAATTTGATGACTACGTGGCGCAGTTGCCAAGGCATTGGCTTCGGCGTCGGGGGTCGTGAGTTCGATTCCCACAGTATTCCACAAATATTTATGTGACCCACACATAGTTGTTTCGCTTCTGGGTGTTTGTCCGCGTGAAATTTGTGTATGTAAAACGTGTAAAAAATGGTATCCTAAAGTAAGGGCAAAGTTTAAAAAAAAAAGAATAAAAATCAAATTAGGTTGGTTCTGCCTCTGACACGAGTAATTGTATGATCGTTCCGTTCTCCTTCAGAGCGACGACGACCACACCCTGGAGTCGTGCAGCGACGTGGACTCCATGCCCCCTACGCCGGCGACGCCGCGCCGTCAGACCGCCACCAGTCCCGGGGTCATCAAGGACGGCCCCTTCAAGGTTCCGCAGGTACACCTGTCGCCTAACGAATCCTAACAGTGCTAGATTGAACACTTAGACTCATTAAAACATGTAGAAAAAGTACGAAAACGAGTACGTTTGTCGCCGCTGTGGGAATCGAACCCACGTCTTCGGCATTCGCGGCCTGACGCTCTAGCCACTGAGCTAAACGGCTAAATAACAATGTAGAAGCAAGGCGTTAAGATTTTCGTCGCTGTGGCTATCAGCCCACAGCGGCGACAATCCTTTCGTACTTTTTCTACATGTTTTAATGTTCAATCTTAAGTGCAGAGATTAGCACTATAAAGAACTTTAACACTTAGACTTACTTTATGCACTGAGCAAGTGGACTAATCTCAGCGACTAATTTATTCGGTAGTTTTTGCGTGAAAAAGTAACAAACATCCATACATACGGATACATAAGGATAAGAAAAGTATTTTTTTTATGTGAGAAAGTGAAAACGAGCTGGCGGTTCACCTGATGTTAAGTGATAACCGCCGTCCCTAATATTTGCAAAATCCTTTGCAAACAAAGCATTGCCACCTTTAAATAAAGTGAGCCCCGGGTACTTTTTTTTTATGGGAAAAAAGCGACACGAGCAGGAGGCTCACCTGATGGTAAGTGATCACCGCCGTCCATGGACACCTGCAGAAGTGTACCACTTCTACTTTACGCGGATATACAAACTTTCGCATTTGTAATATTAGTGAGGGTAGTAAGGATCGTCGTTGAACGGTTATATATATGCACAGGAGGTGGCGACGCCGACGCGGCGGCGGCCGACGTCGCAGGAGCGGGCGACGATCGCGCTGCGCACGCGCTCCAAGCTGAGCCTGAGCGCGACGCCGATCGAGCACATCGAGGGCTCGTTCGTGCCGCCGGACGACGTGCCGGCCCCGGACGCGGAGGACCCCGTGTGGAACGAGTTCCTCGAGGGCTGCCTCAACCCGGCGCACAGCGCGCGCAACGAGGACGACGACGACGCCGACCCCGAGTACAACGTGGCCGCGGACCCCGACGCCAGTGGGTGCCGCAGCCGAACTAGACTACATTTTTTTTTTTTTTTATATGCGAAAAGTTGTCAAACGAGCAGACGGTTCACCTGATGTTAAGTGAATACCGCCGCCCATGGACATCTGCTACACTCGAGGGTTAAAGATGCGTTGACAACCTTTTGAAAATTGGGCTCCGGCTACCTCACTCACCAGACGAAACGCGAAAGTATTTGTCATACTTCCACTTTACGCCGGTCTTCTGTGAGGTCGTGGTACTTACCCGGATTTCGCATGTAACCGCGGAACGTGCCAAACTCTATTCCCCAATCCGTACCCGAGGTGGTTGCGCGAAAGTATTTGTCATACTTCCACTTTACGCCGGAATTTCCATTAGTGTCGTCGCTCGAGTCTGCAAACGAGCAGGCGGCTCGAGCGGTGTTACCGACTGTTTAAAAAAAATACTTCGAAAGCAATTCGAAAATCCACTGAAGTTTCCTAAATTAAAACCAAAACTTCCTAAGTAAGGAAAAGAAAACAGTTTTGGTTCGACCTTACCTCCTAAAAAACGTTTAAATTTTTAGGTAGAAAACTCCTAAGTTGGCATCCGTCGGCTAATGTGATGCTCTTATTAATCTTCGCTGTTAACTTTTTACTGTGGTAGGGCCACGCAACAGTCTTCGCTGTTGCATGACTGGGCAGGTCCATCCCGGGAAGTGCACAACCTTACACAAGACAGGTGTGAAGTTGTAGTGTTACACAGCCAGGGCCCACTTTTTCGCTATTGTAATGTACGGCAGCTAGCGTAAGGCCTGCTGTTTTCAAGCTACCGGTGTTCCCCATATTTCGGGCGTAGTCTCGACTAGCAGGACTGGTCGGTGGTGAGGATGGCGGATGGTGGTGGTGGTCGTGGTGGGGTAGGCACTAGCGGGTGTACACGGCGTTACACTCTGAGTGTAACGTGAAAACGGCATCGTATTCGTATTCAACACGACGGAGCTGCGGTCCGACCCCCCATTGGCCTGTTCCCACCGCAGTAGCTCTCGTGGGAGTCAGTCAGGAGGACGGGCGTAGAGTTTATTTATAAGTTGGTCCAAGTATATAATTACAGCTATATTAAAAATTTTAATATTTGTATACCGATGATGATTTGCTATTCACTTATGGGGATAAAAATATGTTCTTTCACTCTATTACGGAAAATTTCAAGAGTTGAGCTCTCACGTGCCAGAGAATCCCATAGCATAACTGCCTCAATATTGAAAGATTCGCCGATCATCGACATGATTGGTATTATGAGAGTGAATTATTAAGTGTGCGTTGAGTTCCCCATGGGACGAGACACTCGAGCGTTCTCGTTAAGTGATTTGTGTGATTATCACCGCCCATGGTCATAACCTGCGGAGTTGCATATGTCATCTTTGAAAAAAGCAGACGCTCCTGTGGCCCTACCATAGTAATTAAAACTAATTAATCGATCCCGTTGGCCTAATGGGTAGTAACCCTGCCTCTTGCGCCAGAGGGTGTGGTTTCGATCCCCACTACTGGAAAAATATTGTGGGATGATCATAGTGATTATCTAAATACTCATATAGAGGATAACTTTTCAAAATTGTATTAAACATTTGCTTTACATTAAACATCTATATTTACCGAGTTATTTTATTTTCCAAACCAAATAAATTTAGAACACCTTTACATATAAAACTGTAATGTAAAGTTCATTTGTAAAGGTCACAAAGCATATGAATGGGTTGAATGATTTTAAAAAAGATTAAACATACTGTTAGAAGGAGAGAATTGCAATGCGACATTGTGGCAACAAATAAAAGTCTGAAGAATCAGTCAGTTGTAGTTGTATAAGATATTACAATTTAGTTTCTTTTTTTATTTAATTAGTTTGAAAAGATTTTTGTAACATTGATATTTCTTTGTTATTATTGGCAAGTTTATCACAAGCATTGCTTAGTTTGTGACTAGAAAACGTTGTGTAATAATATGTCCCCAAATATTTATTTATTCTGACTATGTCATTTATGGTTGCAATCACAGATGACGAGGACGAAGCTCTGGAGAACAACATAATAAGAATATCAAAGAAGGAGCTCAACGATTTAGTGACAGAGCTGTTCAGCATCATGCCTGAAGCGACGGTGGAAGACGAGCTCGCGGCGGATCTCGCAAATAAAGTACTCAGTGAAAATAATACAGAGGTAAGATGCAAATAAATTTATAATTCACTGCAAACAAAAACATATGTAAAATGTGTCTCTGAAGTTCATGTAATTCTCATTAACTTAACACTCCTTGGGAAACAAACACCCAGATCTGGAACAATTAACACATAAAATTGTCTGGTGTGGAAATCGAACCTACAACCACTGACGCCGAAGCCAGTAGCTTAGCAACGGCGCCACCGAGACATCCAGTATTAATAATAATCTTATTTTACAAAAAAAATCCATTGTGTTCAATTATTTTCCCATATTAAGTTCAAATTATTTTTGATATATGTAACTAATAATAACAGTTACTTGCATTTTCTATTATTAATATTTTGACTGAATTGTACGATAACAGTTGATATAATGTTGTTACCTTCAGTTTATTCATGACTAGTATTTCGCCCGCGGCTTCGTTCGCGTTGAAGCCCTTAAATAAATATCTTTCTTTAAATAGACAGAGTTACTTTCGCATTTATAATATTAGTATGGATTATGTTTCAGAACAACGCCGTTTTGGAAAATACACAGGAGCCAATGTCTGATGAAGAAGACACCTCAAACGTTCAGAGGACGAGAAGTAAAAATGTACAGCAGAAACCCACAAACGCTGAAAAAGAACCTCGCAAGAAACCCAAGCAACAAAAGAAACCCACAACGAAAAAAGTTAACTCAAGGTTAATGTATGTAGTGATTACCTAATAACTTTTTTTTAATTATATTTCATTGGCAAGGTTTCAAATTACCAGATATATATTATGTATTTGAAAAGTTTTATGGGGGCAGTAAGTAAGGTGATTCTAATTTTTTTTTTTTTGATAAAGAGGCAAACGAGCTGGCGGTTCACTTGACGTTAAGTGATAACCGCCTGCCCATTTACATATGCAACACCGTAGGGTTGCAGATGCGTTGCCACCTCTTAATAATGTGGGGCCCACATGTCTACTTTCACTCACCAGACGAAACACAGAAGTATCGTGGTCGTGGAAGGTCGTGGTAATAACCCGAACGGACCTGCCCATTCGTGCAACAGCGAACACCGTTGCGCAGCCCTACCACCGTAAAATACTAAATGCGACGCGCTTTCGAGGGAAACATTCCGGTTTGTCAGATGCGTCAAAAAGTGTGCTCTGTGCAGGAGGGGCGTGCGGGCGCGGGGGGAGGAGCGAGACGGGAGCGAGTCGCCGCCGCCGCCGCCAGTGCTGCGCGCGATGAGCGACAGCTCCCGCACGGAGCTGTCGCCGGAGCCCCCCCTAGTGGTGCACCTCACCGACGTGCCCGAGGTGCTCCCCCACTGTAAAAATAAACTTCAACATATTTATTGATAACACTACATCTCAGTAGCCACTAAATAAAATCGGTTGACCGAGACACTTCTCTATCTATCTCAAAATTCAAATTTCTTTATTCAAAATAGAAGCTTTACACTTATTTATTGATTGACCAAGAACACTTTTACCAGTTCGGAAAGAAAGTCATTGACCTAAGAAGAACCGGCGAAAAAAACTCAGTGGGACATTTTTTTTATCTATTTATTTTATATTTTCTTTTTTTCAGCTTCTACCCGAACAAATCCTGATATTACAACAGCAGTTACGGCAACACATACAGTTGTCTGCGTCAAACTTTCTTCAGCTGTTCGCCCATCCTGATTACTGGAACTTCGCGCACAAGTACAAAGAATATTTGGTAATATTCTTTCAGCAGTAAAGTACATTACGAAGGGCAATGTTGCCTTTAATACAGTGCTTTTACTAATGAGGCCGCCGAACCTTAATCTACTCCTTAATTTTAAATAATTTTTGTTCCTGCTTTGTTTCTGTAAATTTGGTTACTGGAGATGGATATTCGATGTAAGTATTATCAAGCTAATCTAAAACACCTATTGTTAGTAACCAAGTTTTAGACCCGAAAGATAGAATATTGAAACCAGTCTTAAATAGGCCGTGTAAAAGTGGTAGGGCCACTCAACAAATTTCGTTGTACGAATGTGCAGCTCTGTACGGGTAAGTACCACGACCTCACAGAAGACAGCCGTGGAGTGGAAGTGTTATACTCCTGCGTTTCGTCTGTTGAGTGAGGTAGCCGGGACTCACTTTATAATAAGGCAACGTGTCTAAAACTCTACGGTTGCAAAGGTAGTCCGCCAGCTCGTTTGCCACTTTCTCACATAAAAATAGAGCTAATATCAAATACCTATCGCTAGTAACCAAATCATAAACCAGATAGAATATTGGAACAGGCCGTAATTAGCAAATAGATTGTTGCAATACAAAATGTCCATCGTTGCAGACGGTCCTGAACGACTTGGCGAAGGCGAAGCCCAACTCCGTGGCAAACGTGTGCAACCTGAAGCCGGCCTTGGACCTGATCGCGTCCTGGGAGAGCTCCACGTCGGAGCCTACGCCGGAGAACAACGAGATGGTCGAGTGCGTGACGCCCTGTTGTATATTTGATGACCCTATTGGCGTGGTGGGTTCGAGTCCCGCTACTGGAAAAATATTCTGTGATAAACATAGTGTTTTTCCAGTCTCTGGGTGTTGATATATTATGTCTCACATTATGTAGTTATTTACAAAAGAAAAAGTATGTTTATCAGTTATGTACATAGTACCCATAGTGTATGCGTTGCTTAATTTGGGACTAGAGATCGTTGTGTAAAAATGTGTCCTAAAATATTTGTTTATTTATTATGATCACACACATGCAACCCACATATACTGATATACGCGTACACTTGCAATCATGTTAAAAGAAAATAAATGGATATGATGATTATTCAACTAGCCAGTTCATAAGATATCGTTAATGAAATTTTTCGTTGGTTGCAAAGCGACCAATTTCACAGTATTACTATGGCAACCGATAACTACTTTTCGACATTTACTAATTCCAATCACAAATTATCAAATGTTATCAAATGCATTTAATCTCTTTTTTTCACAAACAAAGAGTTGCCCTGTGCCAACACAGGGGATAAAATTTTTCTTTGTTAGCCTAAAAAAGTATAACTTCGCGTTTTTTTACTCAATTTTTAATATAATTTTTTCTCTCTCTATTTCAGATTCGTCAAAAAACAAATGGAAAGAAGGTAAAGCTTTAGTAATAAATACTTTATACATATAATGTATATGGATCATTGTTCACTTATTTTTTTATGTAGAAATGTGTTTCTCATGGATAAAATGCCTTTCAGGACGTTCTGTAATATGGTGCCATGGTAGTATCGTGAACGTTCACGGCATTACGGTGGCAACCAATAACAACTTTTTAACTCATTCTGAGATATTTCAATAAACCGTTATCAATTGCATTTAATCTCTTTACGCTAAAGAAGTATAACTTCTCATTCTCTCTTCATCTCTCGTTACAAATATTCATTGTTGAATGTTATTTGTGAGGTGTTGTATGCTGTAAAGGAAGCACAGTACTTGGCACCAAGCGTTGCTAATAATGCAATAGAACAAACAGATAGATGTCAAGATTTTCGCGCCGTGAGGTCATCGACCTCTTAGCTTAGTTGGTAAACAGTCTGGCAGCGAAAGCAGGAGACGCAGCTTCGAATACCGCGGCGCCGAAGGTTTTTGTTGATTTATCTACAAAAATTTACTACTCAAAATTATAACTTCCTTCGTGAGTACACAAGTACACAGAAACGAAAAGTAAAGTAACAGTCTATATAAACGGACAACAATCGGATCTTGATGCGGTTTGTTTTACTAGATAGAGTAATCACTCTATCAAGAATGATATATGATATTCAACACGTTCGGTTTCTGGTCGCGTACTTCCTTAATCCGTCATTCGGACTAGCGACTGCGCATAGCTTACGACGACCGTATTACAACGGCGTTAATGGCAGGCGTTATAATCCGAGAGGAATCCAAATCTTGAATCCCAGTGGAAGGTTTATATGTATGATACATTCTTCCCCCGCAGTCGGAACCGCACCGCGCAGAAGAACCTGTACGTGGGCGATTTCCACAACACGCTGATGGACGTGGTGGCGAACAGCACGGTGTTCCTATACCCTTACCTGCTGCCCGCGATGCCGTTCCGCGACGAGCCGGGACGCCGCTTCAGGTTCCTGCGCGTCGAGGACCAGTCAGTACGCAAGAGTGAGAGGGAGGGAGGCGTCTCTCTTTCTAGCTCTCCTCTGTCTCTTTCCGTGCCATACTACTATTGCACATCTCTCTGGTTTTTATTGTCCCGAGTGTTCGCGAGTACCGCGTCGAAGACGAGTCAGTATGCAAGGGAGAGAGAGAGGGAGACGGCTCTCTTTCTAGCTACCTCCTCCTCTGTCTCATTCCGCACCATACTACGCAAAGGAGAGGGAGACGGCTCTCTGTCTAGCTTCCTCCTTCTCTGTTTCATTCCACATTATAGTACGCAAAGGAGAGGGAGACGGCTCTCTTTCTAGCTTCCTCCTCCTCTGTCTCATTCCACATTATAGTACGCAAGGGAGAGGGAGACGGCTCTCTTCCTAAAAAAGTAGGTTTCGGTTGCCTATGACAATTAGACAACCGTATCACTGTACAGTGGTACTTCTCTGGTCAAGCCTGACCATTAGTGCAATAGCAGCGATACGAGCAAAGCTTGTATTCGCATCAATTTAATCCGTCCGTTATGGAACTTGACCAAGCCGATTGAAATTACGCAACCGTATCCTTTGTTTTTTTTTTAAAAAAGTGGGAAATATTTTTTTTTTTTTTTTTTTATGCGAAAAGTTGTCAAACGAGCAGACGGTTCACCTGATGATAAGTGAATACCGCCGCCCATGGAAATCTGCCACACTCGAGGTTTACAGATGCGTTGACAACCTTTTGAAAATTGGGCTCCGGCTACCTCACTCACCAGACGGAACGCGAAAGTATTTGTCATACTTCCACTTTACGCCGGTCTTCTGTGAGGTCGTGGTACTTACCCGGACGGACCTGCCCATTCGTGCAACAGCCGAGGCCGCTGTGTGGCCCTACCACCGTATATGCTCTACGCTTTCCCTGCCGCGGAATCGTGGGGACGGTATACGATTAATACCGACGCGATCAATGCCAGGCTGATAGCCCACGGCCTCGACGAGTTCTGGCGGTACGTGGACATGAACCCGAAGCTGTACAAGAGCCACTACAAGGGGCCGGCGCGGTGCGGGCTGCGGGTCGCCACGCGGCTGCTCTGCCGCCACATGATGCCGTGGTTCGCGCCGCACTCGCTGCTCGCGCACGTGTTCTACGTGCGCCGGAACGACAAGGAGAACCCCATATACGTGAGCTGCCCCCCTTTTCAGGGTTCCTTACCCAAAGGGGACTCTATTACAAAGACTTTTGTATGCGAGATAAGTGGTAACACCCGCCCATTGAGATTTACAACCTACGGAGCGACAAGTCAAACCCCATATACGTGAGCCACACTTTTTTACGGTGGAAAACAAGGCGGGGGTAGAGCTGATGTAGAGTGATAACAGCCGCCCATGGTCATTTGCAGGTCTGCAGATGCCACCTTTTAATAACACTTCCGTGCTACTTACCCGGACGGACCTACCCATTGGAGCAACAGCGAATACTTTTACGTGGACCTAACACAGTTAAACTGATACTCGATGGACACTGTCTCTCAAACACACACGTCTTTCAATCAAAAGATTTGGTTATTCCTAATAAGGCATATTGAGTGTAATATTAGTAGTTTCTGTACCCAAATATATTGAGTAACTTTACATAACTTTTCGTATGCAGAAATTCTTCGAGTCGCGCAAAGTGGATCCGGTGAAGCACGTACTGTTGCCCTACAACGAGAAACTCACGTTGTACGAACAGCCCGAGTACGAAATGCCACGTATTTGGGTCAGGCACCTGGCAAAGTCCAGCCAACGTTTCAAGGTGAGTGCCAACATTAACTACCTGTATTTAATTTTTGATACTGAACTTCACAGCATACAAGAAATGTCAAGCATAAATACACTTAATAAGGATATTGACGACCCGAATGGCGTAGTGGGTAGTGTACCTGCCTCCTGCGCCAGAGGGTGTGGGTTCGATCCCCACTACTGGAAAAATATTGTGTGATGAACATAGTGTTATTCGATTGTCTGTGTGTTTATATATGTATATGTATTTATTTACAATAGAAAAGTATATTTAAGTATGTTTATCAGTTTTCTAGTACCCATAGTACAAGCGTTGCTTAGTTTGGGACTAGAAAATGTTGTGTAAAAATATGTCCTAAAATATTTATTTATTTATATATTTAGCCATCAAGGAAGTTACAGCTATATACATTTTTTTTATGCTACTTATGTATGTACAACAGGCGTAATATACTGTAGTGTTGTGTGTGTGTCTGTGAGCGCATCTAATGTTTCTGTGTATATCTTAATGAAAATATCACTTTGTTTTCCTCTCTGTTTTAAGGATTACATGTACCGACGCACCAACGTGACCGGAGTGAGACCCCAAGGGGTGGAAATCTCTGTAGGCGAAACCGCGAAGTCGCTGGAGAAGAAACCGCTGCCGATTAAATTCTTCAAGGCCGCCAAAAAGAGTAAGCAGAACCCGTGCCCCCAAAGCCCGCCGGCCGTGAGCGACAAGGTCGACGTGCAAGTGAAAAACGCGGCCGACCTGCAGCCGACGATACTGTACGGCGACGATCGGAATACGAGAACCGTTAACTCCGCTTCCGAACCGATATGCAGCACGACGGAGCGCTCCGAACCCGCCGCGAACGAAGAGAACCGCGCCGGTTCCACCGCCGCGATAATCAACAGTGGACCCGAGAAGAGCGAGTCGAGCGGCGCCCTGAGCCAAAGCGCAAACTGCGCTGGTCCACACTGCGGCTGCTGCGTCATGCTGCGGAGAATCTGCAAAGAGCGACAGAAGCTGATCACGGAGTACTTCGGGCCGAGGCCGTACAGGACGGCCGCCGTCTGCCCCTGCGGCGGCGTCGACAGGCCCAGGCTCGGCACCGGGCTGCGGCTGCTGCTGAGGCACTACAAGAGCCGCGCCATGTACGTGCACAACGACACGCGGCTGAGGCACGCGCAGTGCGACGAGAACGCGGCCGACTTCGACTACGCGAACATACCGAAGGACTGCGTCACGGAGCTGGACGACGCGGGCGACACCAACGACTCAGGTGCTCTCCGCCGACTCCGAAAAAGGAGGGCCTCGATGCGACTGTGCTTTTGTGTGTTGTGTTTGTCGCCACGGAACTCTCGACTGGGTGAATCGAGCGCATATGGAACACACTTCAACAGACTTCGGTCGAATCGACAACCTCTTCGTTCTCGATTCGACTGTATTTTTTTTTATGTTGGTTACCACAGAGCTTTACAGAGTGTACCGATTTTGATGGTTCTTTTTTTTATTTGAAAATTTTGCTCCGAGGTCTCTCACAGAACGCACCAATGCCCATCTGCAATGTCTATAAGGAATATAATAGCAATGTCTATAACAAACTTGCCCCAATTTCGTCACACCTAGCGGTAACATGTGACCTCTTCGTGTTGTTCCTTTCGTGAGTTTTCGCCCACCAAAGTGGATCCTTAGGACTGCCCATCCCGATCGTTCCTGAACTCCTATTTTTGTGTCCCTATTTTTAGACGCCATTTAAAACGGGTAGGGAATACCTCAGCCCTGTGCTATTCCCGCACACATACTGGGACTACGGTAGGGATGGAACCTAGGGCTATTTGCACACACACAACAGCAGATAAAATGCCATGCATCATGAAGGTCATCATCCGGGAAATGGCTAATTCCCGTAAGGTGTCCTGTTATATATGGCCGTGGACTTTGGAGATGTGCAAGAGACGCAGAAAGTGGAAATCCTTTAACTCTGTCTCCCTCTCTGAGATGAGAGAGGCATTAATATTTAATTGAGCCTGTAGAAACTAAACTACCGTTTCCGAGAGCTCTGTGCCCGTTTAACTGTAACTTAGTAGGGAAAAAGAGAAAACATTATGAACACAAAGTTAAATTAAAAAGAAAAAACAAAACGGACGTCATCTCTTTCGCAGCCTTCGTGACGTATTTCACGCAGAAACTCCTAATCCGGTTGGCGATAGTCAGAAACCACGAAACCAAGAAAAGGGTGTACTCGCTGTTCTCTAAATTCGACCATTTGGAAGGCGACGTGGTACAGTTGGCGACCTCGTTGGAGAAGTTGTTCGACGTCGAGCTGGTGGACATGTTCAAGGAGTTCCTCAGATTCCTCACGCCGGAGCAGGCGGATAAGATCAATAAGTTCAAAGACTACTTCACGCAGGCGTGCGTCTCCGATTTGGTTAAGAGGATATCGGTTAAGTCATTTCTATGTTTCATTCTCTACAATTATCTATTATGTCCGCCGTTAGTGTACACACGGTCACACTCAAGTAAAACATTAACAAAAGAAAAACAAAATAAAATACTCCGTACAGTCTTCTATTAAAGTTGTGCAATGCAGCCATCTTTATCGGCCATCGATGAACGTAGGAGTCTCCTAGTGAACCCGATATAAATCGATATCGTGCCCATCTTATCGATGTCATGAAAACTTCAATCGAATTTTTGAATTACATTGTTTCTAATTTACGTGGACCAAAAATCGCAGATACCTATAGCTATTGAAAATTTCCAGTATGAATTATATGCTAAATCAATTTTAAAATTCCAGGTAGAAGTGACGGATAAAAGTAAAAAACAGGCATTGCTAGCGCGCCTTATTACATCGTTTACCGATAATAAGTCTACGCCGTGTCAGATATGCAGCGATCTACTGAGTTACATGGGTGATAACAAAGAACTCGCAAAGTATACGTTTAATTTGTTCCCGCATAGCAGAGTAGCAGGGTGAGAAAAACTATTAAAAAAAAAATCTAGCTAAATGACTTTGTTGTTGCTTAAACCGTTTGCGCAAAACATTGCTTTCTATTAGTGTCATCTCATAAGAAGCAAAAGCTTTTTCTACAAATTCGCGTTGACGATCAAAGTGTAGCAAAAATAGGCCAAACGCGCTTTGACTACGGCCAAAGAACATTTGGGCGACGTTCTAATTTTCAAAGTTCTCTTGGATGAAAACTGACTAAACCTAATGGCGTCAATCGCTAAATCCCATCGCATCTTATTTTTTTTTGGTTTGGACCGCTTGAAGAATGAAGAGATTTATTCTGGTGGACTTTTTTGAAAATTATTCATTACTAAAGTAAATTCTATCATATGTTTTTGTATAATCATTTTTAACACAAGTTAACGCTTTTGCCTCCTTTTCTTTCTTAATTTTTTAAAAACATCGTCATATGAATTTCTATCCGATTTCTTTCACAGAGGAACGTGCCATCCAATTGTTACACAAAGTGTTAACACACCACAAAATCCTCCCCCCGATGAATCCGATCATGAAGAAGCCACTCTGAGGATTTGCGAGGAAGCGGAAGTTGGATTAAGGTAATTAAATTGTTTTTTATTTTTAGTTCTGAACCATAATTTTGCCGGAATTAAACAATCACTTTATGTAATCGAACGCGCTCTGCAATTGTCTTCCCGGAAAAAATGGTTAAATATTTTATCCAATAGGCTTCGGCCTAACACAGGAATTGGCCAATATTAGTTACTGTTATAATTATAATTAATCATAATATATTAATTCGATCGCAAAAAACTTCCCTTCGTTGTGATGTTAACGAAATTGTATTATCAGTCTTTTTACGTAACTTATGATGAATCGATATAGTGTTCTGAAAATTTGCGCAGCATTCCCGTGCCCTTGTATAGCCGAGCCTATTTCACAGATGAAATTTATTTACTATACTACTTTTTTAAATATCTTAGACACTGAATCATTCTGATCAATTCGGTCTCACTTTGGTAGTTCCAATGATGATCGAAATGCCCGCGAAGAGCAGCCGACTGATGAATTCCCTAAATCACCAAAAGTAGAAGTACCTGAAGAAGAAATTGATGAAATGACAGAGGGCCATCTGCAGGTTGGTATAGATTGTTCGTTTTAGAAATTAAATATTTATTATTTACAAATGTGATGTTTTCGGTTCGATGTTTTCCAAAGTATAAATTAATAACTGATATAAATATAGGAAAGTAACCAAATATGGAATGCTATTGTGCTTTTGGGGCATGAAAATTTATAATTATGATAACTTCGTTCCAATTTAATCAAACGTACTTTTGAGCTCAGAAGTAGGTTCTTACTCAAGATCTATGTCTTTTCTGAATATAAAATTTGAATCTTCACTTGAAGTTACAATATGTTCAGCTAATATTGAATCGGACGCTGATGATTCTTCAGACTGGGTGCTGCATGTTGTTGGAACAACATTGAAAGTCAAGTCAACGACCTCTGAAATACCTATCGCTAGTAACCAAATGTACAGATAGAATATTGGCCGTTACTCAACAAAAAAGCTATCAGAGGCTTCGATTGGCATTTAATAATGAAACCCCATACCGTGGTACACCACTGTTTACAATTGGTATAATGAGTTAAAGCATAGGCTTAGCAATCTCAGTGGTCATGGGCGTGAGGGACCTCCTTTAACAGCGACATCAGCATATAAAATCAATGCTTTGCGAAGCATAATAGAGGAAGATAAGAGAGAATAGAGGAAAGCTTGGGCATTATTCTTTTGTTGTATATGCATTAGTATGAGTCAAGTACCAAAAATATTACACGAAGATTTGTACCATATGGATTATCCACACTTTGACGCCGAAACGCCTTCGCATGGATTTGTTAGGAAAGTTCAACGGAGGTAAATGTATTTGCTGCTCTCGTGCTGTATTTGACATCGTCACAGGTAACGAAAGCTAAAGGATATATTGCTACGAACCTAAGACAATGTGCTCAGTGGGCGTTTCCTTTTGAGGAACTAAAGTAAAAAAATGAAGAAGTCAGGGGAAAAAGATGATTGCGTCGTTCTTTGTTCGGAAAGGTCATTACGCAAAAGATAGAATGATAGTTAGTGCAGACTGGTATGTTAAGTGCTGTTTGTCTGTTGTCTGGAAAATGTTAGACAGAAGCGTCATCGAAGCTGGAGCCTCAATACTTTACTATGACAGGTGTGGAGATTGCCCTGCGACTTATTTATCACCAAGAATCAAAGATATACGTATACGAGTGCGTTCGATAATGCCGTAGAAGAGACCACTAAGGAAGAATCACTGTTTTTCTCAGTGGTTCCATGGAATGCGAAGATAGTAGGAACGAAGACTACTTTGAACAACAATAAAAGCATTTTCAACATTCTAAATGGAGCCGTTTTATGATTTTCTAAGAACTTTCAGTGTGACCCACGTATGTTCCATAATCTATGAGTATAATGTAATAATATATAAGAGTACAGATGTAGTTGAAATGGGTCTATAGTTTGCAGGGTCAGCTGCCTTTGTTTCGTACAGGCTGTACATTAACCAGCTTTCAGGATTAAGGCCCTACCCCATTCTCCTATAGAATCCTACTTGGAAAAGCGGAACGAGCGTCTCAACACGGTGCATGCTCTGACGCCAAACCCGTGAATATTGGTGTCCCACAAGGCTACGTACTATCCCTTTTCGTCTTCTCTTTCTTCTTCATATTATCAATAACTTGTTGCATATTAGTAACACATTCATTGCCATACGGATGACGCTACTGGTGAAGATTTATATACGCGACCGGGAAAATGTTTCTCAGGAATATACCCAAGAGTGTCTGAAGTATAGAGAGTTTCTTAGCCAAAATGTGGGTCAAAATAATAATTTCGGAGATGTCAAACTAATCAAAAATTATCATACGTTTTTTTTTTTTCGAAACACCATACAAATAAAAAGTTTTCAAAACATTTTCACTAGTAAAGTAAAGTAACAGCCAATACATGTCCCACTGCTGGGCAAAGGCCTCTTCTATACAGAGGGCATAGTCCACCACTGCGGATTGGCGGACTTCACATATTTTCGAAATATATATTATTTTTGTTATTATTTCGAAAATATGCAAAAACTTCATTGGTGCCGGCACCGGGGATCGAACTCAGGTTGCTCGAGTATATTGAATACTATTATAGGCGAGCGCCCGGACACTAATATGTCATTTTCACTAATATGTAATCAAATACTCAATCATAAAATATTGGTTACCCTATACTTGGTTACTTTCCTCTAATGTCTATTCCTTATTTTAAAAACCATACAATAGTTAACTTACTTCTTTTAATATGATTAAAAACAAGTTTTTAATTCGAATTTTATTCTATTTGGTATGTGAAGTTTTTATCAATAGAAAAAAATACGAGAAATAAAAATATTCCGATACGACCTAAAAAATGCATATTAAATAAACTTGTGAATTTTCAGGAATCGGAGAGCAATAAAAAATTTTCAAACGAAGATAATATTAAAGTTGAGTCTGACGATGAATCAGTGAAATCGGAAACTTCAGAGTGGCTAAGATCTGAAGACAAGTTAATTCTAGAAATACTTAAAAATAGGCTCACACGGGAGGAACGCCAGAATAAAACTATTTTGGATATATTTGAGGAGAAAGAAGTAATGCAAATGATTACCGACAGTCTTTCGCATAAATCAAATAAAGACGTAACGGATCGTGTCATGTATTTGCTAGAATTATTAGTTTTAAGCGAGAATTGAGAACTTTTTGTAAGAACTTTTCGAAGTAAAATACCTTCTGTTTTATTCATTTTCCTGGTATATGTTTCCTGTAGCGGTTTGAAGTTGATAATGAGATTATTTATAATCCGTCCGTTGCGGTAAACACATCAGATGGACCGCCTAATCGCTTGCCAGCTTTCCATATACAAATCTTATATATAAAAATGGTTTGCTGTTCGTAAGTCTCGCTAAAACTCGAGAACGGCTGGGCCGATTTGGCTAATTTTGATTTTGATTTTGATATATTAATTTTATTTTCCCATACAAACTGTACGTGTCAACCTGTCAAACGATTCCTCTAGAAATAATTAATATGGCAAAGCAACGTTTGCTGAGTCAGCTAGTAGATTATAATTATATTGAGCAGTTTGAAAAGTCCGTTCATTAATAATGACAGATCTTTATACATAACGCCCACATCAAATGAGTAACGTATTGGTTGCGCGGAGGTCATTGGCTGCGCCTTATGTATATGGGAGTGCGAGTAGTTTTTCAGATATGTAAAAGTACTCTTTGGGGCAGTTGTCAATATGTGTCATTATAGGGGAATCTTACCAGCGGGCTTAGTTGACTAGAGCCTAGGACGGCAGATTTTAGTCGAAGACGGCAAATTTGTTCCTAATGTTATGTACATTAGGAACAAATTTGACCAAATTTGCTGTACACTGAAGTCTCACGGATATATATGAATTATATAAACCCTTAGTATAATATATATTACATCATAGTCGTAACGCCCAGCCCCCACGATCACTCCAACGGCGAGGTCCGTCTGCGCCTAGGGCCTGCGCTTCTGCGAGGCGGAAACCAGTTTGTACCACGCCGGAACTGGGTAGGTCAAGCGCGAGTGGATGTAAGTCTTATAGACGCTGAGTTTTGTCTTTAGGTGTAGCTTGGATGTCACGATAGGGTAGAGTAAGGCTCAAGCTGCCCTGACTCGTCGAACAGAGTGTTCGACCTGAGGCGCCACATACAGTGCCAACAGTACATCTACATTCCAGTCGGGAGTGTTAGGTATGTTCCAAGGTGGGAAACTTGTTTGTGTACACCCATACACACACAGTACGGCCACCTTGAGGTACATCGGTTTTGATACATCGCTGATTCGGCTTCTTCGACGTAAACGATGAACGTATATGATGTCTTACTTATTTTGCTCTCTACTTTTGAAGCTCCGTACAGAAAAAGAGGGAATACTAAGGAATGCACTAGACTTATTCTGGTAGCTTGACGTATACTCTTGTTCCTCCAAATTTTCTCGACGGTGCAGTTCATTAGTACAACCGCCGTCCATTGTAAAGTTTTACTAAGCAATCAAAAATTAATCTTTTTACGAAAAAAAATGTTACTAATCAATAGTAACGTTTTTTTTCTTTTTCTTTTCGTACAATTAAAAAGCATTTAGGGCTATGATCTTGGATTATTGAGAAATTATTAAATTTGAATCCGGAACAGAGTATGTACATTTAAATATTTAATACTTTGCATTCGTTTTTTTTTTTGGACGATAGGGCCTAAAAATTAAATTCAATATCGAGGCTGATATTGATATTTTTATAAATATCGATATATTTCTTCGCTTTCGGCATCCCTACCTTGACTTCGGTTATTGACTCTTCCACTTAACCATTAACTGTGGTCGTCGGGTTACGACCACATGGCACTTCCACTTGTTTTCTCTATTCCTTAGTTCTATTTATATCCTGTGTCTCTTTCAGTTCCGTATTGCGTCTTGTTCTCGCGAAATCATACACGATAGTCTAGTTGACATGCTTTTGTTAGAACTACCCTAAATCGCAATCATAAATATTAAAAGTAAGTATACTGCGCCGATTTGATTATTAAATGAAGTGATTAAATCAATGAATTACAATATGTGGTACTATTACTAAACCGCAGCACCCATTGCCACCATTGAAAATACCTTTTTTATCGATTAAATATTAGCGCATGCGTCCGTCAGTGAGTTCGAGCATAGCAATATCCTTTCAACCCTGAATAGTATTCTTACTTTTCATCTGTCCGATATTACCAGGTGAGGCTTACTGAGTTCTAATCATGGCTCGTACTAAGAACAACAGTGGCGAAAATAACGTAGATCCAGCAACTGTGCAAGCCAACGTTAAAAGTTCTATTCATGATGTAAGAAAACATTTATTGATAAACAAATTTAAATTATTGATTACAAACCATGAAATTTACCTGGACTAAAAAAATCGCGGAAATATTTTTTTAGGAGTTAATGAAGGAGCTTTTAGCAGATTCATTTGAAGACGATTCAACTAAAATTAATACTGAAGGATTGGCGCTGGTACTAGAAACAGCAAAGTGTCTCGTATCAGAGACTTGCCTTCGGGCGGCTAGTACCGCAGTGCATGAGAACTGCGAAAAAGTTGGAATGACCAATGTTGAAAAGATCCTGACCCAAGTGGTTAGTATAAAAATAATTTGATTTCGTTCTGCCCCTTTATTATCATTATTATTTCTTAGACTTCAAAAAGCTCTTTCTTCTTGGTTCTCAATTCGGTAGGTTCTATAGGTGGATTTCGAAAATTGTTTTTGCATTGGGTTCGGCTTAGGTCCCATATTAATTTCATTGGAGATACAAGGAACTCCTCAAAATCGTTTAGAAAATGGAAAGTAATTTAATTGAAGTCTGCCCTCACCTTATTAGAATCTACAAGGTAAAAGTGAAATATATGATCTGTACCCCATTTGCTTCTTTAACCCAATATTGAAATAAATAATCACTTATGAAACAATTGAGATGAACATGCTGTAACGAATATATCTACTAAATTTTTGACTTATTTTACAGCTGTGTGACTTTTAGGAAGACAACATTGAGCTCCTTTTTTGGCTCTACAAACATATTTTATGTGGAAGTACCTCAGATGCCAAAATTTTAATTAGTGCTGATAAGTAGGCCCCAATCCCTTTAATAGATTAATATTAAGAATTATGCATGTTGTTTTTATGTGTCACATTTTCAAAATATATGGGATTAAAAAATAAATGATAATAAAAAGTGTATTTTATTTCGATTTTCCTAACTTTAACTTCTATCATAATTGGTAAAAGGAGACCGGGCAATGCTGTCTAACATACCACACTACACATGTTCAAGGAAACCTGACACTACATAATATGTTCATGAACTCTGAATTAATTTTATTTCAAGTACTCCATGTCTTGAAACCACAACACTAAGCAGGGATTAGCTACCTGTTTAGTATTCTATTTTAAGATATGTTACTCACATTTAAATAAGTTTATCTGATTAAGACATCAAGAGAACATTTTTGAAATAGTACACAATTTAAACTAGCAATCTTGAGTTCTTGTTCCCTGTCCATCTCATCGGATAACTTATGAAAGGAAAAATTGCTATTTTCTTGTATTTACTATAAATGAAACTATTTTACGTTAATATTAATTCCCGACATGCCGAACCTTTTGGTCCACCGCATGTCTGTTTCGTGACCATGACTGCTGAAAAGGATTCGTAACGTAAAATTCATTAAAATAGTATCATTTATAAGTAAAACTTGCCTTACTTCTTTAATAACAAATTATGTAAAATGAAAACTTCCTTCTTTTAAATTTTTATTGCAAACACAATTTGTTTTAAAAAAGTTTATTTTAATACAAACATTCCAGAGTTTGTTTTCTAATTTTTGGCCAACTTTAAATACATAAAAAAAGAAAATTCCAAAAGATTTTATTTTAAAGGATGATCAAAAACATGTCTCTGTAGTTTTAAGTTGTGTTTTTAAATAAGGTTCCACTATAAATTATTGAAGAAACTAAATTTGTATACAAGCTATTACAAACATAAATAAAAATAAGAAATTGAAGTTATCTATTTTATTGTCTACACATAAATTACTTTATGTATTCAAAAAATGAGGATGTAATTTGCAATGATTTCCAGTTACAAAAATAGAGTATGCCATTGAGACAAATGATAAACAATATGTATATCCATGGCAATTAAAAATTAAATGTGGAGGATGATATGTTGAGATCAAACTGCTAGGTATATGGTTTTTTAGAGAAACTTTATACAGAATAAAAAAGTAATATAATAAAAATTGGCAGCCTTGTTGCTTTCTTTTACCACATCATCCTCTCTTAAGTCTTACTTTTAATCCGAAATAAGGAATTATAAATCAGACCTCATAATATAGGGGTTTCCTTAAACCATAATTCTAAGATGACAGCACCCACATTATGTCAACACAATCTAATACAGTAATTTTGGTATATTTACCAATAATTCTGTTTAACCCCAGGGGTCTAAAGGCCATCTGATTAGGACACAATCTGTGTCATAAATATTTTTTAATTTACAATGCCAGCATTTCACTGCAGACAACTTTAGACTCCTAGTCCACTAGAAAGTGTCACTGTGTTCAGAAAAATTAACAGAATGCAGCAGTCACAGGCTTAGTTTAAAACAGATCCATATCATCATTACACATGACTTCTAGGAAGTCATCATCATCATAATCTTGTATTTGCCTGGGATCTGTTCGATTGGGAAGGGGTGAATGCGCCCTAGATGGTGAATGCAATGGTGCATCTGTATGTGAATGGCCGTCAGTATCACTGGAGCATTCACGCGCGTCCGTGGCGGGTGATGGTGGCGGGTTCGAGCCGTGCTCAGTTTTTACCGTCGCCTCACCACGTGATAGCAGTGATGGAAGTTCAGAGTCTAAAAATTTTATCCAAGTCAGTTAAAACATAATATATGTGAGTGGTGTAACAATAATAAGGTTAATCTGTTCACCAATCATATGCATATGTACATGTGTAACTGTAGGTATTCTAATTTTATTTTAATTAAAACAAACAAGTCATTATTTATTATTAGTTAGAAATAAAACATGCATATATATAAAATATACTTCAAACAACTGAGGCAATCTGATTTATAACTACTATATAAGACAAACTAATGTATTGGAATTATTATAATAATTTGTGATTAATGTTGAATGTGAATTCATTATCAATAATAAATATTAACAAATAGTACCTGTTAAACTCTGTTTTAATTGTTCCATGACTTTTTGTCGGCTTTTACCACGGGCTTTTTTTATTTTGCGCGATGTATCTTTTCGGTCTTCATTGAATATCTGATTAATCATTGCCTGAGAGATGTCTTCATCATGTTTTAGAAGAAAAAAGTAAATACCACCCGGAGTTCGTCGACGGGTGCCATTCTGAAAAATCATACCAATTAACATAATAAATTAATGAAATACCCCTTAGCGTATTATGATATACAGGACACTCATGCAATAAGAAATAAGTGATGAAGAAACATATAAATGACATTAAGCTCATACATATGCTCTAGTTGTTGCGGATTGTTATGTGACACACCCTACCAATAGACCACTGCTCAAATACACAAAAACTTTTCAATATAAATAAATATCCCAGTAATATCCTTCATGTATTCACAGTGGATTCTAATGTTATTGTCATTACCATTACAAGCATGCCCCCATCAGCTTCTACCCTTTGAGTCTCCTTGTAAATCTCTATAGCTTTACTAGCACCAAGTTCTTGTATAATTCTACCTGGAATAGAAATTTCTTTCTTAATTACTTCAATCAAAAGTAAGCAGTATTGTGCTATTAATACTTCATTTCATTTATACTTTTGGTGCTTTATTTCATTACTGATCTGAGTGAATGATACCGCTGGATTACATACCAACTAAATCTTTTTTTTCTTCAGATAGTTTCTCTGCTATTTCCTTTGCTATATTGTCCAAAGGATCCTTCAAGGTGACCATCAAATCTGGTAAATATCTTGGTTTCTGTTTATCACCCGGGGGTTGGTAACTGTTTACTCGTTTGCCAAGTCTCAACTTAACATTAGATCTTTCATTGAATTTACGTTTATTTGTTGTGTTATCTCTATTATACACTTGATCATTAGAAAATACTTTCTTTGATACATAATCCTCATCTAGCCTATATTTAATTGTATAATCATAAGATTCAACACCATATCGGCTTTTTTTAGTTACATCACAACTAACCATATCCTCAGTGAGTAAATCTTCCTGAAACAATAAACAAAGCAAAAAATAAACTCAAACGTATTTTTAATAAATTCATCATAATTCTTCTAATCAACAAGAGTATTGATATTTATGTTTTGTAATACTTCAATATAAAGAAGATATTTTTATTGCATAGAATTTTACTATTGTCTTAAATTTGGAAAAAAATATAAATACCACACCTGCACGGTTTTACACCAAACATTGTATTTATTACGTTTAGAGGGCTGTTGTTGATGGGGTTGCCGTAAGCGCAACTTGGTACGCTTGGGTCGCCTTCGCGGCTCCTCATCGGATTCAGATGCCGATGACTCTTCCGGGGATGGCTCATCGCTCACCTCATCTTGTATCTGCATGTTAACTAATGACGGCGGATTAAAAGCCTCTGGGCGGGCAAGAGGAATGTATGTACCTTCTTCAACATCAGAATCCTCTAACTGAAAAAAAAAGCTTATAGTTATTAAATTTGCCAATTTATAATACTTGCGATAGTAAAATTACAAAGATGTAATCTCGTCCGCTATAAAAAAATCTGAAAACCACTGTGTAGTGTCTCTAACCTCGCCTTCCTCACGCTCAAGGGACACCTCGACATCCAAATCTGCTTCTGTTGTTGACATCATATCCGTCTAAATTGGTCGAAGAAGAAAGATAACAACTCATGAAAGAGGTTGAGCAAAATACAATAATTTCGCCGTTCTTCAGTTTTTCTCAAGAAGCTGTCACTAATTGTCAGAAATAATAGAAGAGTTAATAGACAATAATTTGAAAGCTATTTTTTTCCATGTAAATTGCATACAGTCTTTCAACTGACAAAAAAGAGAGTTTTTAACTGAAAAAAAGAGAGTTTCTTAATAATAAAAAATATATTACTTTTCAAGTAATAAACTGTTAATATTGCTTTTGCCAATAATATTAATTTTACTAGTTATAACACTTGAAAGTTAATTTGAAGCTTAAAATATAAGGTTTTTTAATCGAAGAAAGGGACAAACGACCCTGGTGGTAACTGACCCGGACCTGATGGTAAGTAATCACCGCCACCCATGAACACAACATCGGAAGGCTTGCAAATTCGTTACGCGCCAGTGTAGCATATATTTTGCTTTGTTTTGAAATGCAGTCTGCTGTTAGCCCAAGGGCTTTGATAGGTTAGTTGTCAATCTACAACAAACCTATCAAATCCAAACCATTTCATCAATGTAGAGCGAGATTGTCTTTCAGCGCTCTTTAGGACTTACAAATTTACATAAATTGTACTTTGACTCTAAGTTAAATAAATGATAATAATCAATCTTTATAATTTACCTAGAAAAGTATTTGGGTTATCGATTGTATTATATATAATATCATCATCATCATCATATCAGTCGTAGAACGTCCACTGCTGAACATAGGCCTCCCCCATTGACTTCCACTTCGACCAGTCGTTAGCGGCCTGCATCCAACGCGTCCCGACGATCTTGGCTAGGTCGTCCGTCCACCTCGTGGGAGGCTTCCTACGCTGCGCTTGCCGTCACGTGGTCTCCACTCGAGAACCTTTTTGCCCCAACGGCCATCGGTTCTTCGAGCTATGTGCCCTGCCCACTGCCACTTCAGCCTGCTGACTCGCTCTGCTATGTCGGTAACTCTCGTTCTTCTACGGATCTACACATTTCTGATTCGATTTCGTAGAGAAACCCCAAGCATTACCCTTTCCAAAGCGCGCTGTGCGACAGCGAGCTTCCTTATGAGGCCCATTGTGAGTGACCACGTCTTGGCACCGTAGGTCATCGCTGGTAGCACGCACTGATTAAAGACGGACTTTAAGGACTGTGGTATATGGGACGTAAAGTCACTGCGCAATTTCCCGAACACAGCCCAGCCGAACTGGATTCGTCGATTGAACTCTTTCTCGAAGTTTATATAATATATCAAGCTATAATCTTGTATCTTGTATTAACTGATGTTTGTGCTTTCAGTCCAGAGACTATTAAAGCTTCATCTGACGCAGAACCGGTGGGCTAGCCAGAACCCACGAGTTTGGGCCCTCCGCTGTGGGTAGGGCCGCGCATGTGCTCATGCGTGCGTTTAACTACGGCATGTCATCTAAGGGCCATCGAAGTAGCGGTGCGGACCGAGACCCCGATGGCCGTCAACTGTGTTTTTAGCTAATCGGTGGCTGGGGGCGGTGAGAACCGCCCTGGAACGCGGGTGTACCTTGTGTACGCGTTGTGTTGGTCTCGCCGTGCTCGGAGGCGAGGGCGAACTAATGTGTTTGTTGCTACACTAACTGTGTGTGTAGTGTTATCCGGCGGGACCCCCGATGGTGGGTCCGACGTACCTAAGTCCCCTTCCTCGAACGGGTCGATGAGGACGTTTCGCGGGCGACGCTTGTTGACGCTCGCGTTTAGATCGGGTTGGTAATTTACTGATCAAGCTATAATAGTTTTAATCCAAACCTATCGCTAGTACTGTCGATAGGTTTCGTTAAAAATGTATGTATTTTGCAATACTAGCGATACCATCGATACTTTCTAATATATTAATATCGGTAGTAACGGTACTATTGCTCTCATTATTATTGTAAATGGAGAGCTATCGATATTATCGACAGAATTGATACGTGATAATAATATCGATATGCAACACTAGATATCACCAAGGGTGCATTTCACTAAGCCACACTAAGCGCCCACAACGATCACAATGCTTCTTTAGTCGTTCCACATAACGACCGCGGTCGTTGTGGTTGCGGCGAAAACGTCATGACTTAAGGCCCATTTACACGATGCTATTTTCTTGAACATACAAGAGCAATAATTGAATGCAATAAATTGCGCGCAATAATTGTTTAGACTATTTGTTGTTTAGACCATGCAACTCATTTATTGCTTCAATTTAATTGTATACAACAGGCAAGAAACTTGCACCGTGTAAATGGGCCTTTACACTTACACGAATCTCACGACGGCCCATCTAAAATGGTGGGTCGAAGTGATCGTTGAGAAAATTAGCGGCATTTTCAAAATTCAAAATGTCTAAGTTCAAAGTGTCACCGCAAAAGACATTTTAATTACATTTGAACGTAAATTAATTAAATACACCACTGATATTAAATATAAAAATTAAATTATAATTTTTTTCAATATAAATCGGTTTAAACAATAATTATTTAAGTTTATTTTCAAGGCTTACAGATTATAACCTAACCTCTTAAATCTTTTGCTTCCTTTTTTCTATTTCGCCGTTTGTATTATTTACCTCTACGCTCAAAACGCTCTATAACCCATTCCACTTGAGTTTACGACAGTAACGCTCACAAGCAAGTGGAAAGGGAAAAACTGTTGTCGCGACGTCGCGAGCGTGATCGTTGTGAACGCTTAGTGGAACGCACCCGCACAAATGGGAAATGTCAAGTTCTGTGATTGTAAACTTCAAACACAAATTAACATTATTCAATGCAATAATTATTGCGTTAAGTAGACTACTTTAAAATGATTTATTAAAAATTGAAACTTATGATGTATCTCTTTCTCCCACAAATCTGGAATACACTATTTATAATAACATCACTTGGTTTACAACATAAATCTAAAGCCGCTGTTTCTTCGTAAGTTATTCTCATTAGTCCATGTTTGTCTATTCTATAGTAAAATAGCCAAGTAAATAAAAGTAGCGTATTTTTACAGAAACGTATTACCTTTATGGACTTGGGAATGCCACAATGACAAATGTTTACCTTTTAAAGCTTCTATTTCTCGAAAACTTCAATCCTTAGTCACATGTAATATGTTATGTTCGACTATACAACTGTGGCCTCAACCTACAGGATCAGTAAGCTTGTCAACAACCGCCGTCCCTGTGCGGGCTGATATGTTTCAGTTGCAAGTAGTAAATTATGCTTCTCGACCAGTGCATGAACACATAGAAGATGCTTTTGATATCTTTCGACAAGAACTGCGGTTTGCCGAAGAAAAGTTGCGTGGGTTTGAAGAGTGGCATAAAGTTATTGTACAAGTTAGTATCAATGGAAGTGCTGATCCTCGCATGCGTATATATACTGATGAAAGCTACCTATTATCAATTCAACCAAAAGAAGGAAGTGGCGGGACTGTGATGGTGTATATAGCTGCAAATTCCTTTTGTGGGGCTCGACATGCACTAGAAACTCTCACACAACTAATTTGGCTTGATCCTTATGCCGGTTCGTTATTAATGATGGAAGCAGCTAACGTACAAGATGCACCACGCTTTCGTTACCGGGGTCTTATGATAGATACATCACATAACTACTTTCCAGTTAACGAACTTATGCGAACGATCGATGCTATGGCTACTTGCAAACTAAACACATTCCATTGGCACGCAACCGGTGCCCAAGCGTTCTCTATAATGTTTAACAGCGCCCCTCAGCTCGCACAGTGCGCGGCTTACGGAAGTAGCACCATATATACTTCAGAAGATGTACGTACCATCTCACGATACGCTCGACTACGTGGTATACGAATACTTTTGGAAATAGACGTACCAGCGCAAGTAGGTCATACTTGGGATTGGGGCCCAACGGTAGGCATTGGAGATTTAGCATATTGCATGGAATCCAAACCGTGGTTTGCTTTCTGTGATGAACCTCCTTGTGGTCAACTCAATCCCCGTAACCCTCATGTATATGAGATTTTAGAGCGTTTGTATCTGGAAATCGCACAGTTGACTGGCGTAGACGACATGTATCATATAGGTGGTGATGGATTTTCCGAACGTTGCTGGGCACAAGTTTTTAACGACACCAATCCTACAGAACTCTGGCTAGATTTTACACGAAGGATGTTACAGAGCTTAGAAAAGGTGAACGGAAAGGCGCCGAATCTCACATTGATTTGGTCTTCGCAGATCTGTGAAAAAATCAATTCAAAATTAAAAGAATATGCAAAAGGTATAGGTTTACAGGCTCGTAATGTGGCTTGGAACGAAAACTACATCAGCGGCTTGAGAACTGTTTTATCAAATGAAGATGCCTGGGACTTGAACAGTGGAATGGGTGCATGGTATGAAGACTCGGGAGGTGCGCCTTATAATTCGTGGCAAAGAATTTATGAACATCGGCCATGGTCACGCAGCACTTTGAGTTCCTTAGAAGGTGGGGAGGCAACAGTGTGGTCTTCGACGTTGAGCGCTGGGGGTTTAGATGCGCGAGTGTGGCCACGTGCTGCTGCCCTAGCGGAGCGTCTATGGTCAGATAGGCCCGAGGGTGCCACGCGACCTGTGCATGCCCGCCTAGATGTATATCGAACACGCCTTATAACACGGCATAACATACAGGCAGGACCCCTTTGGTCAATGTGGTGCACTCATAATACATACACCTGCCGTTAAAATTTATATTAATATATCTTAAGCTGAAGAGTACTATTTTCCCTATCAAACGAATAAAAACTGTTTTAACCTATTTTTCAATGGATTTTTATAAAACAGATTTTATTATAATTAAGTTATATTTACATAAAAATATTCATTTTACCAAGAACTACTATCGTTGAAATTTCACTCACACTCCTAAAGGCAATGTAAAACTTCATTGCTTACATTTGTAAAGATTATTTAGAAGCCAACTTTTGCATAAAGCACTCACGTTGATGTAATGTCAAAGCGAAGTATTCTTGAGTCTTTAAAGTTACGCTTTAAGTGCGGAGACTATAAAAAGCTTCATCTAATACCGTTCCCAGGGAAAAGTTGCTTTCCATAATTTGGTTGGACCCAAAGCTAATAGGGTAGATGCAACAGGCAGCTGGTGATGTTTCCATACTTCCGTAGTCTGCCCTTATATTTACATTCGTTTCTGCTTCTGTTTCTGCTTGTTTTCGGATATTTTAACAGAATATTATGATGGGTTTAAGAGCGGGCTTAAGAGCTGGGAATAGAATTCAAACTACATTTCATAAAAATATAATGGGAAATAATTACAATATAGGCAATTGTATTTTGAAATTTAGAGATGATACACCTTATTTATCCAACATTTACAACATTAAATCTATTTAAGATTACATATATCTAATAAACCTTATCCACGCGGCATGGTATCAAGAACGCTAGCTGGATTTCTTCGCGGAATAGTTACGCTTAACCTTTGAGCGAGAAAAGAACCAGCTCTCTTGTTAGCAGCCGGTGCTGAACCTAGGACGTAAACCTTTCAAAAATTTTGATGTATGGGGACGCCACGGACCCAAAGTTTCAACAGCCAATGGCATAAATACATAAACTAAACATTGAGACTCATATTTTCGCCACTTACTTCAGCTGCCTCCGATGCCGCCCTGGGCCTGGCCGAAGTACCCGTTAGATGAGAGGCAGCCAAAGTGTCTACACAAGTAGCATCCAATACAGCCTCTCTCCCAAGGGATCAAAGTCAAGTTGTCGTGTGTTCTCTAACCGTCGTCTCGGAAAATACAAGGTTTTAAAAATGATGAGACATTGATGAAAAAAAGAGCCCTACGGATGATGTCATTCAGGGAACGGTCGCGGGAAAAGAGGCTAGCACTTTTTTGACAAAAAACCTGTTGGGGCACAAGGGCATTGATATGGTTGACAAATTGGTGCCCCAAGTAACTGTAAAGTTAATTAAAAGCTTGTAAGATAAGATTAACTTCATAAACTGGGGGTCTGTTTCAGCTTTGACACTCGGGCCTCTAAAGTGCTTAGTTCGCCTTATAACTACCACTAACTTTTAGCAACTATAACAGAATTACGTCTTTAGATCTTCACAAGATGCGAAAAAACAAAGTTATATCAGTAATTGCCACTAACAAAGCAGTATTAATTGAAATAATTCTGTTAAATTCCTTTCTCAATTCTCTAAATAGCTTGTTATCAATCTCTTTGAGCCACGGGCTTTATTAATAATTCACTTTTCTAATCCAATAATAAGAGAAATCTTTCTCTGCTTCTAAAACCTCTTTAAACAGAAATTTTAATTAGTTCAACCCTAAAAATTTTCATGTTCAACCCTAAGTGCAAGGAAAAGGATATGATGTAATCATTTTGTCCATAGTCTTATATGTTCCGTGTGTACCGCCCTTAAGATTTATTTTTGGTGTAGAAAATATTTTATTCATGACAGAAAATGAGAAAATTGCATTATGCATATGTAATAGGCACTATGATGAACATTCTTCTTTTGAAGAATGGTCCTAATGTTATGAAGGAATACATCTAAAATAAAATCCATTTGACAGTAAAGCTTAGTTTACACTTTTGTAAAAAGATATTCTTGTCTATGCAGAACCAATGTGGCGGCGAGGCCGAGGGCAGTAAGCGTCAAGTTATGGCGTTTTGTGTTAGACGTTCGTAAATAGTTTTTGTACTTATAACTAAATGTCAGTGCATTTGTTTGACTTAAATTGAATATGAGTAGATATTACGATTACGGTAATGCGATATCATGGTGAGTTAATTTAATTTTAGCTTTCTGACATCCATATTGTTTAAAATTGTGTACGTTTTTCCCAGAAACAAAAATAACATTTTATTTGTGATTGTTTTTGAATACTAGTTAGAGTAAATATAACAATTTATGGTGTTTATAATTTTTATATAAAAATATTTTTGTATCTCAATGCCGGTAAACGTGTATCAATTGGCATTGATGTTCAAACCTGGCCCGAACGTGGCCAATGTATCAGCACGGTATAACAGTATCGTAAATATTTTTCAAGATTTAAAATCGGTATGTTATTCTGTACCAGCTATTTTAGGTTTATTATATATTTACGTGTGTAAAATATAAATAGAGACAGATCTAACACACCATGATATTAATAATATAGAATCAGTGCAACACCTGCACTGATCTTTATTGAATCAACATTATTGAGGGATAGTATAGACTATAATGTTTTTATATGTTCGAAATAAATTATTGATGAGTAATTTCAACTTATTTAATATACATAAGTTCTGCTATATAAAAATATAAATGGTCATCTTTGCAATATTCTTATTTTAAAAATCTTGAAAATAAATTAAAACGATGGTTTAAATGTAATTTAAGTTTGCAGGTATTGGCTTAACTTACTTATACAGTATTTTTTTAACTAACACTACAATATATTGGGAAATCTGTATAGGGGTAACATATATATTTTCAATTTAGTGTTATTAAACTTAGTTTATTGTATTATTTAATGTCATATAATTTGTTCCCTTATTAATGTAAATGATATAATCTTGTGATTTATTTATTTATTTTAAAACTTTAAGGAAACTAACAGCTAGCACATAAGTAAAGTATTGAATAACAAATATGTACACATATTTGATCAAAAAAGATTGGCAACCATCTCAATAAAATTTTGCCCAGCCATTAAAAATTCACTAAGGCCTTATGCTTTTATTATTAAAATTCTTATAATTTGTAATATTTATATTTGTAATATAGTAGTAAACAATCTCATGGTTGTTAAAAGTGTAACATTACTTATGAATTGCATTATTTGAATACTGATGTGATAGTCTGTGGTGGTCCTAAGTCCATCTGTTTTGTAGCAAATTGCTATCAATATGTTTAAAAGTTTAAAATACACTCATTAAGAGTTAATATTGAAAGAAAATTTATCATAATCATTATTTTCTGGAAAATTTCCTTGTCACAATAGTTAACTTATTTCTCTTACTGTCCAGTTCCTCTCATCCGGTGCTTACCTAATTTGTCAGTTTGACAAACTCCTAACAAAACTTTTCTCCCTAGCGATGTTCCTTCACAGCTGCAGTGGAATAATTTACTTTTGCTAAATAACAAAAGGACCGCCAACATTGATTCAAATAAATGCTCATTTAGGGATTAGTGGTTTGTGGACAATTAAAGCTGTAAGACATGTTTTAACCATTGTAGACTAAATAAGATAATTATTCAATTGCAGATGTTGTCTTGAACTCCCTTTGACCATTTTCGTCTTTTTCCAGTTGTAGTAAGAGAAATAAGGATCCTCCAAAGCGCTGGTTCTGTTTACTATGCCGAAGAAATTTTCCAGAAAAGCCCAGCTAGGTCGTAATACTGTTTTATGATAGTGATTTCCGTCCGTTTTGCGGACTCCTGAATTTCAGTTGAGATGAGACTGTCGCTCGTCAACAATGGTTAAAACACGATCTTCAGCGCGGGTAGTTAACGCGTCCCAGAGTGTGCCCGCCGAAAATGGAAACTCCTCCGAACTTAGGACGCGGCTCAAAACCACTGAAAATGGACATCGCTCGCAAAAGAATTACCACTCTAGGCAAGTGCTAAGTCCTCTCCGCGTTTGTTCGTTCTCCTAGCAGCATGACCGCCGGCCAACAGGCCGTGTAGCCCAGCCGATGTTAGTTTATACGCAATTGGAGGAGGGAGGGACGCCCACGATATGTGCGGGATTGCATGACGTCCAAGGGGCTTGTGGTGTCGGTACAGAGACGAGGTGACAACTTTGCCATTAAAAAACTGTCAAAAAATCGTAGACGCCGGCCGGTTGAACTGTCGCCGCCGCTGAGCATGTCGAGTATATTGTTGTTTTGTCCCCCTCGCGCGGAGAGTGTCAGACGAGTGCGGTTGATCTGCAGGAACAGCCAGGCGTTGCCGTCGAGCGGCGTGGGCCCCGGTAGCGGGTCCCAGGGCAAGGACCCACTGGCGCCCGCGCTGCAGAGCTCCCGCTCTATGTACCAGCACCCCGCCGTCACCGGTTACAACCCGCAGGACGCGCGCGCTCAGTCCCTGCCAGTGACGGTAAACAAAATGGCGCGTAGTAGACGCGCGTGTGTCTTTCGCGAGCTTCCTTAAGTGCGCAATTTATTTTTTCAGAGCGAATCTATCTAGAGAAGAGATACTATTTCATATTGTAGTTCTTTTTTTAAATAAACGTTTTGTATCAGGTTCCGGTAAATTTAACGTATATTGGACCAGTATCAATAAATATCTCGAACAATTGTAGCTTTTTGTACATAATTGGTAAGTAATAAAATTATTAAACGATACTCTTATTTAATGTGCTGTTCTGATTTAACGATTTATTTGTAATTCATTAAATTTCTCCGGGTAAGCCTGTCAGAATAATACTACGCAAAAACAATATCCACTTATTTGTATTAAATTTTATTACAGTTTATTTTTGTTCAACCATGCTTTCTAAAAAAAAACACCGTGGTGACATTATTTCGTTCAATAAGCTCGGAACCAGAACAGATGCAGTTTTACAATGCAGTAGTGCTAACTGAAAAAAGTGTTTACAAACTGGATGTTAATATGGGCCTTGGTATTTCAATGAAATGTCAAAGCTCCATTCGTTTCGGCGGCCGCCAAAATGTGTTGCGTATTCGAAGGTCATTGATTTTAAATGATAACGGTTATTTAGCCCTGTGGTAGCTTACTGTTATACTATGTATGTGTTAAGTGATTTTTTTATGTGTTACAATGTGGTTCACCTGATGTTTAGTGGTAACCGTCAACAATGGGCATCTGCAACACCCGTAGGGTTGCCACCTTTAAATAAAGTGGGCCCCGGCTACCTCACCCACCAGACGAAACGCAGAAGTAACACTTCTACGTCACGCCGGTCTTCTGTGAGGTCGTGGTAGTAACCCGTTAGTTGCGTGGCCCTACCACAGTTATGGCTGTATACCATATTAATGTAACCACTGAAAGACGTTTTAGGGTTTATATTTGTTTCGGTGAATTTTACTACTCCTGTATACCTCGCCCGCTTGGTTGCCCACTGGTTATTAAATTGGCGCACTCTTTAAATTTGTGCCGCGTCTGCTATCCGCGGTTTCGAATCTTGTCCCGCGTGAAATTTATTAGACCTCTACAGTTGGGTACTGACCGGCGGTACAGGCCGTAATGTAGGATCCTGTGACCATATTTTTAGCGCACCTCTCACGATTTTATACGTCATTGGCTGTTTCGTTGCACGGATGGGCCAGCTCATCACATGATTGCTGCGGCATCATTGACGCTACCGGGGACCATCCTCTTAAACGTGGCGACGTAAATGAAACGCCAATGGTGTTGGTGATGAAGCGTTCGCCTACTCGCTGTCTCTCCCCCCCCCCCCCTCTCTCTCCCCTCCCGTAAAGTAACTGAGGGTAGTTGTCCTTGGCGAGACACGTTATATCCAAGTCCAGTGCTAAACGCTGCGGTGTATATGAGCGCAGGCGCGCACTGCGCAGGCGCGGCAAAGCCCGATGTACGCGGGCGGCATGTACCATGGATACTCAAGCCCCGCCGGGGCCGCAGCCCTGGCGCCGATGGCCTCGCCCTCGGCCTCCGCCGCCCTGTCGCCGTTCCCCGTGCACCCGGACGTCAAGTTCAAGAAGTGGGTACCCGACAGCCCTACCCACTTTAGGGGCCACTACTAACACACTGGATGCCATGTCGACGTGAGAAAAGCTATTTATTGTAACCGACAAACAGAGTCGTAAACCGTAGAGTGTAACGTATTTTGAGCTGCGAGGTGAATGGCGATATATTTTTTTAATTAATGCCTCTGCTATCTACAATTTTGAATTTACGATTGTGACTCAAGTGTAGTCGCTTTGTGTGTGGGTTACAAGACATAACCTTTCTTACTTCGATGTGCATAGAACAGGCCTTTTCACTGTCTTATTAAAATAAGGGTCCTTCAAGTCGAGATTGAATTTTGGCTTTTACAGAGTTATCGTTTTTAACAACAATGATTGCATCACTACCTATGGACCATTGAGACTGTAATCAAGCACTTACTTGTGGGAAATATATTTACGGGTCGATATCTTAATTCCAACCTCCCCAAACATCCGCAACAGAGATCGGTACTGCCCCTAATCGTTCTGGTACATTGTAGCGGTATGTTTTTTTCTAATGATGTGTTTGTGGACAGTAATAATATCGTACTCAAAAGTTGTGTTATGATACATACAATCTTAACTGGAAATTCTCAGATTTTAATATAATACATAACCCTGCAAATTCCCAATTAATCTTAATCGCTAGCTAGCTAACTTTTTACTTAAGCCATCTTAGAACTGGAAACATTCAATTGAGTTGAATCCTTTTATATTCGAGAATCTATTTGTAGATGCCCCCCAACTGCTAGCCGGCTTTTGCGTTTGATATAATACCCTTTCCGATATTTGTAGACTTCCGTTCTACGATGTGATGGCGGAACTATTGAAGCCGTCGACGATGATGCCAATTCAGTCTGGCCGAATGCAGGAAGGCACCTTCGCATTCCACCTCACGCCACAACAAGCCACAGAGATAGCCTCCGGCAAGGATATCGTCGGGACTAGTAATAAACTTGACTACGTCATACAGGTCATTTTCCCTTCTCTTACATCGTTCATAAATTAATTTTAGAGTAAGATAATATAAAATTTATGTTTGCAATTTTTTGAACAAATAACTGATTTGTAATTTATTCCGGCACTAAAAATCCTTTTCTATTTTAGGCACAGCTGAGATTCTGCCTGCTAGAAACTTCTTGTGAACAGGAAGACTATTTTCCGCCTAGTGTTAATGTTAAAGTAAACAATAAAATGTGTCCGTTACCAGTAAGTACAACAATTTATGTGAATTGTAGTTTTGTTTTAAGATCATGGCAACTTGTATATAAAAAAAGGAAACCTTCCCCAGAACCCAATACCTACGAACAAACCTACACCGGAGCCGAAGAGACCACCGAGGCCAGTCAACATCTCGTCGCTGGTGAAACTGTCACCTACGGTTTCCAACACCATCCAGGTGACGTGGGCGGCCGATTTCACGCGGGCATACGTGCTGAGCGTGTTCCTCGTGAGGAAACTCACCTCCGCGGAGCTCCTGCAGCGTCTCAAGAATAAGGGAACCAAGAATCCCGACTACACACGATCGCTGAGTAAGTTGGAGACGATATACCATTCTGTGTGTATCTCTTGCCCGTTTTACCTAAAGACCAAACCTAACTTATATAAATAAACGACCTAAAGTCTTAAACATGACGCTTAAGTGGTGGTGAAAACGACGTTAGCACTTACATTTGTTTAGGTGTCCCTTAAAGTTAGGGATCAATGTTGAAAACGGGCATTAGTGCTTGGAATGATCTTCAAAGCCATTGTGTATGCCCAGTTGTCTACGCCCGTTAATATGAATACAAATTAATGTGAGTTACATACTATATGAGTAGTAATGAAAGATTGACTTTATGATTTGTCCAAGTGTTTGTCTTGTATGAATACTTATATTCATAGTATACCTTAATTTCCATTAAGTAATTGTGGGATATCAGTACATGTATTTATTTAACAGAATCTGCATATACATATAAATATAATAAACCTTTCTAGGTCCCAGTGGTCGTTAAGACTTACTACCAAAAGAAGGGCTACACAAATGGAGTGAAATCAATTTGGAGCATCCAATATGCATGCATTAAAATCACTGTTTTTTTTTACAGTCAAAGAGAAACTGTCAGAAGATTATGACAATGAGATAGCAACAACTTCCCTCCGGGTGTCACTGATGTGCCCTTTGGGTAAAATGCGGATGTCGTGCCCGTGTCGGCCCGCGAACTGCCCGCATCTGCAGTGCTTCGACGCGTCACTGTTCTTACAGATGAACGAACGGAAACCCACATGGCTGTGTCCTGTCTGTGATAGGCCCGCACCATATGACTCATTAGTTGTGGACGGGTGAGCATTGTGCTTGTTAAGTATTGGTTTGAAGTACATCAATCACATAGAGGTGAGGGTAAAATGAAATGTGTGTCTATTTCTTGTTGCCAATCTTATTTTGGACTTTATATTGGCAGAGATTGGAACTGTGACTTTGAAATTCGTCGATCGTCTTCAATACTCTCTGTACTCTGTTTGAATTCACTAACCACTTCTGAATAATAGATTTTGAAGGAGCAGAATCTTAGTAAACGTGAATAATGAGTCTTTCCTTGTTTTTTAAATAATTTTATGACAGCGCGATGCTTGATTTTTTTCAACATTGGCGTATCAATCATTGTAGATATCTTAAATACTAATGGTGGCAATTAAATGATTTTTTATATTTATACCCTCGAAGAGTTTTATTAACTAATAATATTATAATTCATCATTAAAATATCGAGAATACCTTGAACGCGTGTGCACACAAACTTACACATGATAAAATTTTCTCATAAAGACCTGTGTATGTACAGATATTTCCTGGAGGTGTTGACGTCATCGCGGCTCGCGAGTGATTGCAATGAGATCCAGCTGCACGCCGACGGCAGCTGGTCGGCGCATTCGCCGCCACCGCGCGCCCCGCAGGCCGCGCAGCCCGTCGCCGAGCCTGTCACGCTGATCCCGGACGATCTCGGTACCTCGATTAGCTCCACTGCATGTTTATTCGACGTAACATTACACCACCGTTTTCAGCCGAGCCTGTCACGCTGATCCCGGACGATCTGGGTACCTCGATTGGCTCTACTGCATTGTCATTTGGACGTAACATTGCACGACCGTATTCAGCCGAACCTGTCACGCTGATCCCGGACGATCTCGGTACCTCCATTGGGTCTACTGCATTGTCATTTGACGTAACATTGCACGACCGTATTCAGCCGAGCCTGTCACGCTGATCCTGGACGACCTCGGTACCTCGATTGGCTCTACTGCATTGTCATTTGACGTAACATTGCACGACCGTATTCAGCCGAACCTGTCACGCTGATCCCGGACGATCTGGGTAGCTCCATTGGCTCTACTGCATTGTCATTTGACGTAACATTGCACGACCGTATTCAGCCGAGCCTGTCACGCTGATCCTGGACGACCTCGGTACCTCGATTGGCTCTACTGCATTGTCATTTGACGTAACATTGCACGACCGTATTCAGCCGAACCTGTCACGCTGATCCCGGACGATCTGGGTAGCTCCATTAGCTCTACTGCATTGTCATTTGACGTAACATTGCACGGCCGTATTCAGCCGAGCCTGTCACGCTGATCCTGGACGACCTCGGTACCTCGATTGGCTCTACTGCATTGTCATTTGACGTAACATTGCACGACCGTATTCAGCCGAGCCTGTCACGCTGATCCTGGACGACCTCGGTACCTCGATTGGCTCTACTGCATTGTCATTTGACGTAACATTGCACGACCGTATTCAGCCGAGCCTGTCACGCTGATCCTGGACGACCTCGGTACCTCGATTGGCTCTACTGCATTGTCATTTGACGTAACATTGCACGACCGTATTCAGCCGAACCTGTCATCTAGGAAGTTCTGCTGCATGACATTTAGCCGGACGATCTCTGGGTACCTCCATTGTCATGGGTACCTCGATTCTACTGCATTGTCATTTGACGTAACATTGCACGACCGTATTCAGCCGAGCCTGTCACGCTGATCCTGGACGACCTCGGTACCTCGATTGGCTCTACTGCATTGTCATTTGACGTAACATTGCACGACCGTATTCAGCCGAGCCTGTCACGCTGATGTCGGACGATCTCGGTACCTCCATTGGCTCTACTGCATTGTCATTTGACGTAACATTGCACGACCGTATTCAACCGAACCTATCACCCTGTTTCTGGACGATCTAGGAAGTTCAATAGTCTCTGCTGCATTGACATTTAGCGCAACATTGCAGAATATTATACTGGTAAAAGTATTCTGACGAACGTGTCATGCTGATGCCGCATGATCCTGGTACCTCGATTGACTCTACTGCATTGTCATTTGACGTAACATTATAGCCTGTCACGCTGATCTCAGATGATTTTAGTTTACACCAACATTGAACTACATTACACCTAATTATATCTTAAAGTTCAGTGTTTTCTGTCGGCTTGGTGATATTCAACAAAAAATAAATAGATTTAATCCCGTCTCCCATGTCTAATATAATAAACTATATAGATATTACTCTAAACTAGACTATATAGATATTACTATAAACTCTATAGATTAATCTCTGCACTCATCTACAACCTGTCATTGACAATATTGTCTTGCTTATCATGGAACTACATGCATCTGAAGTTTCTATTTGTTTCGTTACATTAACACTAATATCTTTTTGAAACAAATATCAATTATTTCATGTAGTACATATGCTATTATTTCTTATACTCCTTATTTTATATGCAGAAATAATACCAGTAGATGGAAGCGGCGGGGGCGCGAAGAGGGTGGCGGTAGGGGAAGGGCGCACACCGAAACCCGCAGAACTGCTTGTGGACCTCACATCCGACTCCGACGACGAAGTGCCCCTCAAGAGGAAAGTGCCACTGCCGAAACACTCGCCGCCAATCCTGGAATCAAACATAAAGACTGATGACTACGCCTCTTCTAACGGTGATCATCATAGTTCCTATTTTTTTTTTGTTTTCATTAAATCTTCGTCCATGCTTCGGGCCTCCCGTCACAATTACTTGTGAACACAGTGTTCTTTTTCTGTCTTCTCTTACGATAGACAGAGGAAACCTTAGACCTATTCTATGAAACCGGGACTGCTAGATTGGATTATTATCTGGATCGCTGTTGTTTCTCCCCTATCCTATAATACAGTTGACATGTTAATAACTCCAAAAGATATTATTATCATGACTGTATACATATATCTTTTTAGGGTTCCGTACCTCAAAATGCATGAATTATACAAGAGATCATTTATGTAAATCCGTCCAGCGTCGGAGGCGGTGTCGTCGAGCGGCTACCGTTCGCCGAGCGCGTGCGGCGCGGCGTGCGGCGTCATCTCGCTGGACAGCCCGTCGCCGCCGGCGCCCGCGTCGCCGCCCGCCGCGCCCCCCCTCCCCGCCCACACCGGCCCGCCCGCGCCCCCCGAGCGCCAGCACAGCGCGCCCGCCGACCTCTGTGAGTCCACAGCGCGCGTCGCCTAGCAACCAAAGTTTGAGACCAGACCTAACTTTTTTTAATAAACCACCTAAAGTCTTAAACGTGACACTTAAGTGGTGGTGAAAACGACGTTAGCACTTACATTTATTTAGGTGTCCCTTAAAGTTAGGGATCAATGGTGAAAACGGAATGTGAAACGTGCTTGGAATATTTTCAAAGCCATTGTGTATGCCCAGGTGTCTGTGCCCGTTAATATGAATACATATTAATGTGAGTTACATACACATACATACATTATATATATGAGTAGTTCAATAATTAAAATAACATTTACGGTGGTAGGGCCACGCAGCCGCCTCGGCTGTTGCACGAATGGGCAGGCTCTTCCGGGTAATTACCACGACCTCATGGAAGGAAGACCGGCGTAAAGTGGAAGTGTAATACTTTCGCGTTTCGTCTGGTGAGTGAGGTGGCTTTGGCCCAATTTTCAAAAGACTGCCATGTATTTAACTTTACATCACATCTTTAGAATTATAGTAAACTAAAAGTCAATGACTATATGTCCCATTGCTTGGCAAAGGCCTCCTCTGTAGGGTATTAGGCCATAATCCACCACGCGACCTCACTGCGAATTGGCGGATTTCAACTTTCTTAGAAATATTTTGTTTTTGTTACTATTTCAAAAATATGCAGGTTTAAAAGATATAAATTTTTGGGAAACGCAAAATAAAGATTTGTGAACTTTCAACAAACTAAGTATTTAGACGGGAGTGAAAGAATAAGTATATGTTATGTAGCTTTCTATGCCTAAATTAGCATTTGTTCTAATGAGAGTCGAAAATGGTAGTCGTCTTACATGAAGTCAAAATCATGATTTTCTTAACTTTTAAATATTGAAACCACCTTGTAGTTTTTTGTGCTTTAAAAACCCTTTTGTGCTTTTTGTTGTAAAACCCTTTGAAAATGCTTCACATAACTGACAACTAACTGTGTGTGTTGACAATTATTGTTGATAAATGGAAATTATCCAAAAAATATTTTTCAATGTTTGAAGTACCTTTCCCAACTTACTTTGAGCACATATACGCCAAATACAAACGAATTCACTCATTTTTAAACTATTTTTCCGTAAATTCACAGTTACTGAGAAGGTATCCAGACACTGACAAATGTTTGAAATTCGAGTGTTCATTAGATCGTACTTTAAGTAACTTGTACAAGACCAATAAGAAAATTGGTTAAAATAATTCTCACAAGAATGTAATGTCTCAAAAGAGACTAATATTAATTTATATATTAACCAATATTAATTATAACTAAAAGACTACAGCCGATAAGAAGTATCCAACATCATTATTTTATAGTTCTCTTGAAAAAAACTGAGGTGAAATTTGTTTATAGGTAAAAAAAAGGTAAGACAGAGGTCTTATTTAGTGAACCATTAATAGTTCTTTGCATTACAATAAGAGCTTGAAACAGGCCTATAATATGAATAAAATTTTGTTTTTAGCTTTTGAATGCGTCAGTGTAACGACAGTTTTCCAATTAGTGATGAAAAATACTGATTAATGTTAGGAAGTAAATGCAGTCAAAAAAATTGTGAAAGCAAATTATGGGTATTAGCTAGCAATTTATACGGCAGTGAAGCAGCTGGCAAGTTTCAAATAATAATAAAGTACAAAGATTCAATCAACACTTGATTGAATAAGGTGACATACAAATGTGTAAATGCCATATATGTGTTAATAGCCTATTTTATTTGTATGAAGTGACAGATGAGTATCCATAGTAGGTAGTATTACATAATCGATTTTCCATTTATACCTCCATTATTTTTCATCTCCCATAATGTTAACACAAAATTAGCTGATTGTTTAGCGTCCGGTAATTCTCATTCTCTTATAAAATAATATAACATATCATCATTTTTAAAGGTACAAGTAACAACACTGAACGTGAAGATAACGAAACAGCGCCCACGCACTGGACGCCATATGACACAGACCGAGAGTCCCATGACATGTTGCGAAGGTACAAAACTGATGCATTAACAACACTTAAGTCTTATGTAAAGTACCATCCTATACATGTCCCACTGCTGGGAAATTGCCTCGTCTTTACAGAGAGTATATGCAGGTTTCCTCACGATGTTTTCCGTCATCGCAGGGCATTAGAGGCGAGCGCCCGGATACTGAACTATCACGGCTCATAAGTCATAGAATGCAATAAACGGTAAATGACAATATGTATAAAAAAAAGTGGCCAAGTGAAAGTCGGACCCTTCGTGCGAGACGAAGGGTTCCGAACCGTTATCTATAAAAATGGCAAAAATGATCTCTGTTGTATGGGAGCTCCACTTAAATAACTTCTGATTGTTTTTTAGTATTTGTTTTTATAGCGGCAAGAGAAATACAATATTGTTTTGTGTTCAGGTACTGACTGAGGGAGAAGAGTGGTCGCACATTTTACTCAAGCGACCATTCTTCTGAAGATGATCAAGAACCTTCCTACCCCGAAGTGCCCCTTCTGCCGCCCTGAGAGCAGTCAGGACACATTCCAACACCCCATGTGCTATGGGATCTTGATTTACACAATTAAGGAGATATGTTTTGGGCCTTATAACTATAGTAACAAAGTCTAAAGCAAGATAAGAATTAAATTTCCAGTTCGTCACAATCTGGCTTATTTCGGAGTTGTCATGTATGGGTGTTATGATCATGAGTTGGATACTACCATTTCTTACTCTACCTCAGAATCAAGTATAGGTGTAATTTCAAACTTGAGCTGCAGCATTTATACAACTCAACAAAGGCAATGTCTACATAAAAATATTAGAACTTAAATACATAAATTTGGAATGTATAATTTAAGGAAAGAGTTATTGGTGCATATCTTATTATCTGTCCCAAATTTATATGATTTGAAATTTGATAAATGTTTAACACTATTGAATACTTGCTGTAAAATTTAGAACCTTTTGATAGTAGTTAGTTCCTTGACAGTAAAAATACATTGATTCCATTTATCTACATTGTGTTGAAAGTTTAGTGAAAGTAAAGTGGTACTAAGTGACATTGAATCTATATTAGTTGTATTGTTGATATGTGTACCAATTTAATTTAGTAATATGTTATTTAAAACTCAATTTTGAACTTTCCTTTGTGTGTAGAAAATAGTTTTAAACATAATAATAATGACTTGAGATTGATAATACTCTCCAAGCTGTCAGCAGCTGGAGTTAAGGTAACGCGTTTTTCCCATGTAAATAAGATGCATGTGTTCGTTTTTTTATCAGAAATACGAAGCAGTTCTTGAATCCTCATGTCTAAAACATTTTGTTGTAGTAAACAAATTTATTTGTCTTGTAATCTTTGAGCAAAGCAGAATGTTTTTATGGATGACAAATTAGGTAACTTTGAATGATGTGGATCCAGTTTCATTTGCACCACAAGGTCAAGAAGCTTAGGGCCTTAATTCATGAAATCTACAGGAGAGTTTGTATTTATTTATTGTTAAGATATAGCATATTTCGTGTATTTGTATTATAAAGAAGTGTTATTTGTGTTCACTTCCAGCACAGTACAAGCACACTTCCAAATTGTAATACTAAAGAGTAAGATAATGTAGAGTAACAATAAATGTAAATATGGTGGTCACATGTTCTTTTTTTTATTCTTTTTGCATATGACTAGACTGACCTGCATTTCATTTCATTCATAATAAGGCTTTAAAAACTGCTACTTAGCACTTATTACATGTGAGATTATAAATATGAAGCAAAATAAATTAATATAAATAAAATAAAAAAAATAATTAAAATTTATATTTGAAATAGAATATAGACACCACAATTGATGTTTGTGCAAAAAGTGCTACATGTAATTTATTTGATTTTGATTTGTATTCAAATAAACTGTGAAAAAAGGTTATCAATTATTAGTTACATAAGAAAACAGTACTCCGTACATAGTACTAGAGTGGCTTCTCTTCAAATAATATGTTCAATAAGTGAATATTGTAGTTGGCTGCAATATTATTATTAAAACAACGCAGCAAATTTTCTGTTCATATCATATATTGTAGCTTTTTGTTATCACTTATAAAATAAATTCTTAACATGGTCTACCGGCGTACGGCAACAGGTCATCGCTATGTAACAAAATATGGCAATTTTTCACAGAATAAATTCAAAAATTACGCCGATTGGCCACTGCATGTCTGTCCCTGTATGTATGCTTAGATCTTTAAAACTACGCAATGGATTTTGATGCCGTTTTTTACTAGATAGAGTGATTCAAGAGGAAGGTTTATATGTATAATATATTGTACCAGCGCGAAGCCGGGCGGGTCGCGAGTAGTGACTAAACACTGGTCCACCCTGATATTAATAACAATATTTGCGGACATAATTATATAGTAACTAAAAAGAACGAACATTGCACATTGGGATGACTGCATTTTCTTGAACGAAGTTTGCAACATCCCTAATTAAAGCTTTCAAAGGTAAGTCCAGAATACTTTTAGTTGTATGCAATGCAATGCCTGTATTATTATTCTGGGGAACTTTAAATCAAAGAGTCAAAAGGCACATTTGCACTTAGATCTGGCCTCAGACTAGCCTATGAACAGTCACTCTAACAGTGGGAGTGCTAGGAGGCAAACAATCCAATCCAATTTTACGAAGTCCGTGGATGAATATATGGGCTATCGAGACGTCATTACTTAATGGCTTAGCGCTTACTATCCATAAATCCTCAGATTGCTGTTATATTACAAACTTAGAAAGTGGAAACCATTTACTCATCGAACGTAATACTAATATACAAATACTTCTACTGTACGCAGGTCTTCAACGTATGAGCTTTTCTCTTCGCTTTACCCGAGCGAATGCGCCACTACTACAAACACCTCTATTCTATTATTAAAAAAAACTAGGTGGAGGAGGTTATCAAGCATACGCTTCACAATGCATTCATGTCATTCTTATACCAAAATCGTTAAGAGTTGAAAATAAAATAATATTTTATTTTAGATAGGTACGTATATAAAGTAACGAGGATAAGGTAGTCTGGTAGCTATCATTTAAAAATAAGGTTCATATAGAGTATTTTTTTTAATAATAACCGTTACGCTCATTATTAATTACGTTGAATACTCAGACCAAATTAAAAAGTACTTTTTTATTGCTCTGAGCTTGAATGCAAGTATTTATTGACATCCAGATAGTTAATTTGTCATAATATTAAGTCAAACTATTTACAGGTTACGGCCATTTTTATTTATGAATATGAAGTCACATTGAAGCATTGATCTACAAGGCAGTAATTATTGTCACGTAATTCTTGATTGCAATGAATGCAATGCGACCCGACGAACCTGCCTTAAACATCAATCATTATCTGTTTACTGGGCGAATAAATCTGCGATAGGAGACAAGCGATGTCGCTGGTTGTAATCAGTATGCGCCCTTCTCACATTTTATTTTTCTAAACAGTATCTGACATCTCTTTCAAATAAAAGTCAACGTCTCATAGTGCATCCCGCTCGCTCTCACAACATATACCGCGCTACGGTGGGACACGTAGCGTTCCTTACTTCAACTGAGTTTCGCGGTCGGCCGCCGACTCGATGCGGCGCTGACGTGCGATACGCCAAACTTGTGTTTCCACCGTGAAATCACCAGTGTTATTTGTTTATACCTACTTTAGTTTTGATTACATAGCTCCAAGAATTGACTGACGATCATAAGGTGTACTGTACGTGTATGTGTGTAGTTCGATACGTCTAATATTGTGAATCGGGTCGGCCGTGTTCATTTATGTGCTGACTGGTGATTAAAATTAATTTACTTCGCTTTTACGGTACCGAGGGTCGGTCGACTCGTATCGATCGCTTATCGAAACAAAGCGGTGGATTGTTTTGGCGGTGTGGAAAAAGCCGGTGCAGCTAGGTGAGACATTTCTATAAAGTATTAATGTTAAACGATCATAGTACTTTATGCAGGGCCATGCATTCGTTGTATGTCCCAACATGGAGACTGGGAGTTAATAGTCCGCCCGTGGTAAAGCTTTGTTTAACAGTTTTTATTATACGCTTCTCAGACTTTCAAACATAATGTTATTCCGTTTGCCTTTTATAATAAATGATGTTTGAAAAGTAAAAAGGGTATTTTTTATGATTTACTTTTATTTCATTTGGTCAAGAAACGTGAACACAAGCTAAGAGCTTCACCTTTACATTCCATGCGAGTTATGTCCTTCCCTAATGGGATAACGGATAATGGCTCTCGGCTGCCCGCCTCCGCGGTAGAAATATTTATAAAGCGGTTGAATCGCGCCATGTCAACAAGCGGTGGGTTGTTTGCCTTCGCATTTAGACGACAAGGGTGCCGATAAGACGAGCCCTCAAGAACCAACACTCGCAAATGCCTTAAGCTAGTGACGAGTCATTCATGAGCTGAATGAAATTTCCAGGGCTTAACATACCATATGCAAAGGGTTTTTAGTAATGCTTTGTCCAGTTCAATCATGTAGTGATTACCTGCCATGCTCCTAACACTAATCAATCATATGTATAAAGCTATAATTAATGTACATACATATAGGTATTTAAATTTCTTTGTTTAATTAATCTGTATAAGTATTGTATGACATCTTTACACAAAGGTCAAAAATTAACTACTTATAACTATAAGATTATCTTTCTCATGTTTACTTAGGACTTTGATATGAATATTAATTTAAGACGCTGGAAGACCGCCTCTAGATATTGTATATTTCAATATCTTTTTGATGGAAACGAAAATTTTATTGTCCCTAGGAAAAACCTTTCAACTCCTATCAAACGTGCGTTGAATATGTTTACTTCGGTTAACCATTATAAAACAAATACATCTGTATCCTAGTACCTCAGTCACTCCTTCCTTTCCGTCATGTATTTGCTGCAATCGTTTACACTATATTCATTCAATATTAATTGTTTCATGACATAATACGTGTACATTCAAATACATCTTATTTCACAACACACGGTTATTTTCTTAAGGCTTGCTAAGCTGATGGATCATTATATCACACTTGACGCAATATGACTAAATAACCGGGATCCTAAATCCCCTAATCCTAATAAAACCCTTTTGCGCGGAAGCTCTAACTTGTAAACCGCCATAAATCCTTGCGGGTAATGAATGTAGGGCCAACGCTGGAGTGTTGTTCGATATTATTGCTTATTCCGTCTGTCTAAAGTTCATTATTCAATGGCTGCTCGGTTTTTTATTGTGATAAAACTATCTGCAATTACTAATAAGCGATTCGTTCCACAAGACTTCATATTTCATTTCAATCGATTAAATATTATTTTATAATTAACATGGGCCTGCATTTCGTTTATGCTGATTACAATGTTGTGTTATATTTAAAGGCATTTTGAATATTTCA